TCTGAACCTAGGATCTATCAGTCTCGCGCGCGAGCGCTTAATCTTTAAACCACTGATCTGGCCGGCATCCAATGGTGTGAATGTCTAACTTCAACTAATCCACGAAATTGATCGACACATCCCTCATTGTCATCAGTGAGTTACTATCTCACAACAGACCAAGTTGAACTCCACTGATCTATTTATATTTAACAATTTAGCTACTTCTGTGGCAAATTCTATATCCAGGTTACCAAGAGACAAATTTAACAACGAGATAGTTTGTCCTTCCTTGAGTAGTTTGGAAAGAATCAGACGAAATCAATATGCAGCTTCGTTACATCTAGTTGCATATATGTATCCTGTACAGATTGCCTTGATATTACCTTAAGTCACAAGCATTATAAGTTTAGATGGATGGTGGCTAGCAGTGAAATCCATAACACGCGTTTCGTCCTATTTAATACTCTTTGGTTGGATGTACCTCAATCCCAGAGTTGATGTTCACTTTATGATTCGAACCCACTACTATTCATTTCAAATACCATTGCATTATCCATTTAACTACTTAGTTCAAAGAGCCACTAGCTTATACACATATGGCTTTGGAACATTATTTTCAAGTGAATGACCAAAGTTTAGATTTAACCTAGGTTACTAGATAAAGATGTTTAAGTGATTGATGAGGTCACTAAGTTTGTGGGTCGAATTTAAAGTATTATTCAGTGTTCATTATTTCATTTCAATATTTTATTTTCAGTGATTCAAAATGATTACCAGTTTCTTTAAATAACACTCCTTATCATAGATCTTACTGAATATCGTTCGTATCTTTTTTGTGATATTTATTCTGTTTCCAATCCAATATAAATCTAATTTTACACTATTAATTATCACTGACTAATTTAACAGTTAAATCACACATAAAAGATGCTTTGATGATCTTGGATCCATGAGATTTTCATCCTATAAATGTTTCATATGCTTCTTTAATCAGGATCAGAGCAACTACCTGAGTGTTTGTGTGTGTGTGTGTGTGTGCGGAGCATTTTCTTCTTCATGACCAGAGTACAGTAAAATCAAACTGTTTATTTCACAGATTTTTGTTTACTCTAAATCTTTATTTAACTTATAGTTGACTCTCAATAGAACTGAATATCCCTACAAATTCCATTCAAACATTCTAGGGTTGACAATGTTTAGATTTAATTTTTACAATTTTATTTATTCATTTTAGGTTCTAACTTGTTTATCTGAGACACCTGAAGGTCGAAGGATTCTATTGGATCATTTAAATAAAGTATGTTTCATATTTTGGTTTATTTTTGAACATAAAATTGTCATTCTATCATTCATATGAATGTGTATTTTCGTTAGGATTAATGATTGTAATATTTCAGGAGTTAAGATCATGAGTCAATTGAAGATAGACCACCATAGAAAACCTGGAAGCACTGGATGTCAGTTTCGTCCTAGTATGGGACTCCTAAGTAGTGCACATCCACAAGCCCGCTTGTGAGTTTCGAACCCAGTACCTATCAGTCTCGTGCGCGAGCGTTTAGCCTGTAGATCACTGAGCCGGCCGGCATTCGATGGTTTTAATGTCTAACTTCAATACACGAAATTGCGCAACCGTCTTCCATTTTCATTGGTGGGCAACTGCCTCACATTTTTTCAATTTCAAGTTTTTAATCTTATATTATCGGGTACAACAGCCGAGTAGCCTATATTTGCGACACATCGGTAAAACGTACGCAAAATATTCAGAACACTAGTTCTCATTATGTGGTTTGAATTCAGAGGTGTTAACATTAACTTCAATTCAAAACCGTTAATCCAAGCCTTCACATCTATGTCGTACGGTACGCATTCTATGCAGTCAGGTTTATAAACGTGTCAGAGGTTATCAATTGGTCTTAACAGTTACCGCTTCTTCTGAAAACAATTGAGTGCATAATCTGAAAACATTTTTAGCTATTTATACTGCTCATAAGTTACATTCGTTACTGATTGATTTCGTATGGAATACCATTAAAAATCACGGAGTAGTGGATGGCTGATATGTCTTGGTTTGAGGCTGCTTGAAACCACTTCCCAAAGACTCTGTGAGGGACCTTTTTAATGACTCTCAGGTCCCGAAGAGAACTACTGGCCATTAAAACCAGTAGATCATCATCCAACGATGTAATTTTAACTTTATTCAGTTTGTGTGTTATAGCGTTACTATGGTGTATACTGCTTATGTTGATAGATATAAGTAGTATGTGGAAGCAATTGGAAGTAGAATGTCTGTCACCAGAAGACTGAATTAAAGAGACCAGGAAGGCAAACGGAGAGCAATTCGGATAACAACAGAATTAGAAGAATGACAAATTATGTAAAAGACAACTGATTACAGATGTGTAAATAATGAATGTAATGTATGATTTTCATATTTTACGTAAACAATAAATTCGTTTTCCGCAGGGTTGGAAGGAAAATGCTGGTTATCTGCCTATGCTCCTCCACAAGGAGTAACAGGCGTAAGTAAGTCAGTAGGTTTATGTTCATTACATTTGGTGCAATCCTGTGGACACCATTGCCGGGGATCTATATCCGTTAGTATAAGCAGCATACACCATATTACGATTATCTAACTGTTTCATTTCAAACTGGTCTGCATGCTATTCATAAACTGGATGAATCTGATTTAGCGGTTCTATTAGTTAAGCATTCACTACTAGACCCTATAATCATTGATTGACATTTTTGTCCATTGTCATACAGAACAAATGTCCACAACTCTCTGATATTCAATAGTATCCCCAACTGAAATGAATTAGTAACAAATAAAAACTAATTTCCATAAAAACTCTTTAAAATAATCATTTCATTCTAATCCTGTTTTTTTTTTCTTTGTTTTTAGATATCACCACATGTAACTGATATGAATGCTGCTGTAGCAAAACATGCAAAAATAGCTATATCTGTTATCACTTGGCAACCTTAATTCCCCTTCCACCCCACCCCACCCCACCCTCGAAAAAAACCATAGTTAATGAGACACAATCAAAAATAAACAAACACACAGACGGAATGTTTACATATACTTTCATAATATTTCATTTATCATATAGTGAAATCTCCCTTATAGAGTAATACAGTTCTAATGAAAGTAAAATACCACCTAATATATTTCTTCATTAATGTATGCATCAGATTATCTATACTAATATAATTCATTTTATGTGATATAATGAGATTATTATTATCATTATCAGATATGGGGTGAATGGAGATTATAGCGAATAAATAGTTGAGATCATGAATCAATTAGAAATAGATCACTATAGAAAACCTAGAAGGTTTGAACAGTTGTTTCGTCTCAGTATCGGACTCTTCAGAAATACGCACTCAGCGGTTTGATTAGCAGTTTAGGTTAGATAGTTTTTTTTCTTTTAAAAACATGTCTATTTTAAAGTGGTCAATATTGGAGAATGATTAAGTATACTCATTCACAATAAAAAGTACATACAAGAGATTAGGTACTTTGAGAACATTACAATATCAAGACTAAAGTATTCATAAGTTATGACATAATCACTAGTTAGCATGGTTTTAACCCGCTCTAATTGTATCTAACTTTATTCATTCACATATTGATAAGTCTTGCCAATTGAACGTCAGATTTGATTTCTATATTGTATATATCGATTCTTTATCGGTTTCAATCTAGATTTGGTTTGAAATACAGAATCTATTAAACTGTACAGCTCAATTCATAAGTCAATTAAAGCTAAACCACCATGGGAAACCTAGAAGCATTGAACTCCTCAACAGTGCGTATACACTGTTGGGGTGATCCAGAAAACTACTCGCAAAAGACAAGAAAGCCTCAGGAAACACTAAGAAGCATTTTATTCAATCAGTATTCAAGAAAATGAAAAGACGCATGTAGAGTTTCTGATTGGATGATAATGTATACTGCTACTATGTTCAGTAGCATTCCAGAATTTTCAGGGAGCCCAAGAACATCTGAAATACTATAAGAACCCTATATATTCTGTACTAAATTGAACCTTTGGAGTAAAATGTTTCTTCCATATTTTGCAGCTTTTCCCTCATGTTCAGGTCGCTGTGTAGTTCTAGCTTGAGGAACTTATCACACATGATCTCGCCCCATGAGATTCGAACCCAAGACCTACCAGTCTAGCACATGAGCGCTTAACCTCCAAACCACTGATCTGGCCTGCATTCAACAGTGTTCATGTCGAATTTTAACCAATCTATCAAATTTATTAACATTTTTCTCTATGTAAAAAAAAACACAACTAGATCATAAAATCTTATTCCGATGTATACATTAATATAAAACTGAACAATGCAAGAGATTATGAAATGGTAAAACCAAAAGTAACCGAGAGAATAAAACAACAACAACGACAATATGGTTGAAACAATTACAAATAAACAAAAGTTAAAAAAAACAAAGGGTTACGCAATAATGATTACAGCATATATTGATCGATATCAATATAGAAAGTAACTATTACATCATACCAACCAATATATATATATATGAATAGATATATGAAGTACCTTGTACAAGACTATTACCATGAGTACTATTCATTCATTCATTCATTCATTGAATGTTATATGGCTTACAATAAGTATGTATTAATTATCATCGGTTTTACTAGTTAACTTTTGAACAGTATCTGCAAAATGTCGAGCAAGATTTAAAATATCATCAACATTATGATGTTCAGCTCGTTCTGTTTTTGAATAGAAAAGAAAATAAAGAAAGAAACACACACATACACACATTAAAAATGAGATGTTATGAAAGAAATTCTAATCTACATTAATCAATGATCTATGATCTATGATCTTAAATGTTGTTATAAATCTTTAGTTGTGATCGTAGATGTAGTCAAACTCTAGATAACTATAACATATTCAAGCGGAATTGTTGAGGAGTCCCACAATAGAACGAAACGGCCGTCCAGTGCTTCCAGGTTTTCAATGGTGGTCTAACATCAATCGGTTCATGATCTCAATCATATATATATATACTGTATGGGTAAGATTTTGATCTAGATCTCTTGAAATTGTTTTTAGAAATAAGTTACTGGTAAGTAAATGAGTTTTAATGCTTTACTGATCATTTTTAGTATAATAAACAGTTTTCTTTTGAAATAGTTGATATCATGAGTCAATTGAAGATAGAACATCATAGAAAACCTGGAAACATTGGATGATTATTTCGTTCTATTGTGGACCTCCTCAGCAGTGCACATTCACGATCCCACCTCTCTAGATTTGAACCCAGAACCTATCGATCTCGAGCGCAAACACTTATCCTTTATACCACTGATATGTCTAACTTCAACCAATCCGAAAAACTGAGAGTTATACCCACTATTGTCTTCAGTGTGTTACTATCTCACAATAGAATCAGTTGAACTCCACTGATCATCCAGTGCTTTCAATTGACTCGTGATCTCAACTATTAAAATTACTATAATATCCACAAAAACCTCTTCGGATATTAATAAACAGTTATTTGATAAGTCTTGTAGTTGAACGCTAGATTCGCTTCCTAAGCTCTTCTAGTAACTTCCAGGCTAAATCTACACAGTGACTTGAACATGAGAGAAAAGCTGCAAAATATGGAAGAAACACTTTACTCCAAAGTTCGTTTTAGTACAGAAAATCTAGGGTTTATATAATATTTTAGATGTCCTTGGGTGTCCCGAAAATGCTGGAATGCTACTAAACATAGCGGCGGTATTGGTAATCATCCGATCAGAAACTTGACATGTGTCTTTTGACTTTCTTGATGTTTCTGGCTAAACTTCTAGTGAATATTGATTGAATAAAATGCTTCTTAGTGTTTCCTGAGGCTTTCTTAACTATTGCGAGTAGTTTTCTGGATCACCCCAACAGTGTTCTCGTTTTCTTTTTTTTTTTTGATCATCAATTGATGAAACATACTACTTATATCTGTCAATATCAATAGAATACATCACAGCGTTTCCAGATTTTCAATGACATGTCCTCACTTATATCAATGCACACGTGATTAACTGCGGACATTCATTTGACTGGAAAAATTTGCAAATCTTGGATACAGGAAGATCCAAAAATATCAGAGAATTTTTTCGAAGCTTGGCACTCAGATCATTCAGTAATCAACAAGCACATTGAAATCGATTCAATTTATCAACCAAATCAAGAAAACTATGTATAAACATAGGAACAGAAATTAAACCATTGGGTTATACAACCAAAACAAAGAAGTAAACAATGTCAGGTTTAATGTCAACAAGAATCAATCAACATCTAAGTCTAAACGTTGATGGTTTGTTTTTAATAGTTGAATTCATGAATCGATCTAAGCTAGATCTATACCAGAACTGTAGTGGACAAGAACACAAGTGAGGACAATCGAATTTATATAAATACATAACTTCATGAAATCTGAGAATCATACAGTAAATACTAAATTTGTAAAATATCAATCGATTGTCTCATATTTCATTGTTCTTTCATCATCATATCAATTATTCTCTGCTTTCATTCTCTTTTCTTTGATTATCTTAACCTTCAGCTACCAGATATTTCACTTTCAATTGGTGAAATATACTACTTATATCTATCAATATCAGTAGCACACATCACAGGATGAAACAACAGTCCAGTGTTACCAGATTTTCAATGATAATCTAGTTAAAATCGATTCATGGGTTCCACAAACCCTCGCCCTCCCTCCCCCCCCAACAACAACGTTCTGATTAAATATATTCATTAGTTGATATGAGATCATGAAAATGATCCCCCACCACCAACTTATTCTGATATCTTATTTATACAAGAAAAAGGGAAAACAAGCAGTAGATCATCGTCATCATCATCATCATCATCATTTAAAACTTACCATTAAAAAATTTTAAAATATCCGTTAATTCCATATGATTTGAACTAATCACATCTCTATAATATTGAATTAATGCTAAAGCAATAAATAAACTAAAATCTTTAGAAATTATATGTTCAGCGCATAAAATAACTTCCCATATTTGAAAAATATCTTGATAATTAAATTCTTGAAAAGAAAGAGAAAAAAAAAGAAAAAAAAGAAAGAGAAATTCATTATCTAAGGGTGGGGGTTTGTGGAGATTTTAAGGAATTTCAATAGTTGAAATTATAAGTCAATTGAAGATAGATCACTGTTGGAAAACCTGGAAGCATTGGACGATTATTTCGTCCTTTTATAGGTTTCCTCAGCAGTGCGCATCCATGATTGAGCCTCCCGCGAGATTCAAACCCAGGACTTATCAGTCTCGCGAGTGAACGTTTAATCATTAGACCACTGAGCCGGCTGGTATCCAACGGTGTTAATGTCTAACTTCAATTCATTAGTTAATGTCGAGTTATCTAGATTAGTGACCATATTATAACTTGATCGATAGTATTCCATTTGTAATACGAAGGATTTAATATACATGACATTGATTACTATTCCGTGATCAATCAATTGTGGATCAGTTAATTTAGTCATGAATCATTTAGTTAGTAAATTGTTTAGAAAAGGCTTAGTAACAAAAAAATATTTTACAAGATAAATCAATAATCACCATGGTGACAATAAATTATATTAAAATAATTCAGAAAGGCCTTTTTTTAATTAGATAAGTGGTCAATCTGTTTTGACATAATGTTAAATCACTTTACTTTTAATATGGAAAGAAGGCTTGAATATTCATTTAACGTGGATTGTTTTTACAGGCAACCATACTCATGGATTAGTTGAAGTTACATATTAACACCATTGGACGCCGGTCAGATCAATGGTTTGGAGGTTGAGCATTAACCCGCGTAGCCGATAGATTCTGGGTTCTATTCCCGTGAGCGGGATTGTAGATACACCCTGTGGAAGAGTTCCATACTAGGATGAAACAACCTTCCATTGCCTCCAAGTTTTCCATGATAGTCTAGCATTAATCAACTTATGAATTCAACTATTAAACCACATTTGACTTTATTTTTATTATTTCACACACACACACACACACACACACATAAAACCTCAACATCATTTAGCAATTTGGGAAAGTTTGTAGATCAAATAAGGCGAATTGCATACAAATATGAACAAAAGTAAACCTATTGTAGTGAACGATGTAGTTGAATACACAATTACAGAATAACTTGATGGAATATAAGAATCATGCAGTAAATACTTTATCTACAAAATGTCAATCAACCGACTCAGACTTCATTGTTCTTTCATTTCCATATCAATCATTCTCATCCTCTTTCCAATGATCATCTTGACCTTCTGCCACCGGACATTTTACCTTCAGTTGATGGTACATACTACTTATATCTATTGATATCAGTAGCATATACCACAATATTAACATGTTCTGAAATCTATCCATTCATATTTTAAATTATTTTAATCAGGGTTTTCTCAAGAAAAACTATAACTGGATCAATAGATTTTGAAAAATTCGTCTACGTTGAAGAATTTACACATTCTTCGTATCTAATTAAAGACCTGAGAAATTTATGTTGACACATCACGTATGTTTCGGATGTAAATGTGGATATATAAGTCTACCATTCACCTTTCTTTAGGTTCTTAGATGTCTTTGAAAAAACGAGATATCTGTCTACCAATCAAATCGTTTATATATTCCACAACAATCAGCTCTGTATTGACTACTTCTGCTACCTTGACGTGGTGGTCGGGCTTGCCTATCGTGATGAAGCAACCGAGTTATACTGGCTGGAATGATCGTTCCTCAAGGTCGTACCATGTCAGACAGGTCGGTTGAAGAGCGGTAAGACTAAAAGCAACAAACCCAAGGTTCAAAGGCGAAGTCGTACTGCTCATCGTACAGAGGTGTGACAGCCGTAAGGTGTTTCCTTCAGACAAGCAGCATGACACACAAGGAGGGGTGGGGTTAGAAAAGATCAACCCTAAGAATATACACTTCGCCTTATCCCACAGATATCCATCTCCGGCGGTAAGGTCTCAACAAGTACGGAGGTAACATGAAAATTACTCACAGAAAGGTCGTGTATGACCGACCACAAGCAGTTGTCTCTTGGACACTGCGGTCACTCTCTCAGGTGATTAAGACCACCTCTAATCCAATTTCCTTTTCAGATACCTCCAGAAGAACCCTTCCACGGTGTGTGAAACAGAGAAGTGATAACCGCCGCCCTCATACCTCCAACAGCACTCAAGACCACTGTAGTATCATGAAGATGCTTGTATCTTTACACTTAGTCGAATATTCAAGATGTATATTGGTACAGTAGATTATGTATCTTCATGAACGATTCGAGTTTTAAAGGCTTCATTGATTTATAAAATACCCTTAACCGGTTGTAATGAAACTCTTGAAATTCGGCATATAAATCTGGTATATCTAGAGCTTAGATTCTTGACATACCATGTACTACTTGAGTAATCAAATGATAGAACCCTGCAAGTTATAAATGAAAAAATAAAAGACGATCGGGAAAGAATGCTATTCCAAACAGTGCCAATTATGTTACAAAACTCTCAGGTAGCTTTAGTAGCTTTTAGTAAAGGCAAAATCATCATTATAGTTATGCAATCCGCATACAGTGATTTTTAACCATTTATCCAATAGAGAGGCTACAGCTTGATATTCTGGAGAATTCTTCCAAAAGATGATTGGATGGAATTACTTCGACTCATTCTGAACTTCTTATAGCTTCCTCAAGTTCACCCCATGGACCGTTCTCATAAATTTAAATAATGATTTATGTTTATAAATTTAAAATTAATCACAATATTACATAATTTTTTTATATAACAACTAACTGACCTCTTTTAAAATACAATAAGAACCACCGATAGCAAAAGTAGAAATGTGTAAAATCACTGAATTTCTGTAAATGACCAATTAATTCAGGGTCTAATATCTATGAAATACAAAATATAAAGTATATATGATAGTGTATATAAATATGAGTATGTCCAACCACCTACTGCCTCGACTTGCGATGTTCAATGGTATAGGAATAGGTTAGAAGAAAGCTAGGGGTGGCCAGGCCAAAACATGGCACAAATCCATGAAGACACTCTCAAGTGGACTGAACCATGTTGGTAGGTTTAGACTACCTGGTTGGGGACCACGAAATGATAACAATCGGTGGTTAGATACATTGAATGACATGGCTCAAAATCGTTTGCAATGGTGCAGGTGAATTCACTCTTTGTATTCTCCTAAATTTTAATCTTCTGAATTCTTCATGTCCCTTTTTTTCTCTTTCTAAGTTTATTTCACTGGATTATACTCCTTGAATAACATCTTCGAACCCTAATCTTTCCGATTACTGATTATACTCTTACTACCTCTATCACTATGAGATTTGAATTGACAACTGCTTCTCTGTGCTAATGTGATGTAGCAACTCGAACTGATATACGTACGTGCGAAGTTCCTTTTTTTTACTGGCTGACTAACACATATATATAAAAGGATAGCTGAATGTATAGTCATATGATGTGATCTATAATCGTGACATTTGAAGTTGTTAGTTCGAATCCGGAAGATCAAATCAAGCTCATCATTAATTAGAATATGTTTAATTTCAAAGTATAACTTGATAAAAAATTGTCATACCATTATTCAGATGCAATGAGACTATCATTTATGAATGAACCAGTTAGATTTAGGATAACAGATCTTGGTGGTTGGAGAAAGTCAACACGAAACCCTGAACCCGGGTTTCGTGCTACTTGGCACTCATCAGCAAGGTTTATCTGTAATCTTGAAGGAACTAATGCTGTCTGAAGGATTTGATCCCATGTCACCCAGCTTCACAGTCAGAAAAGTTACCATTGGTATATCCGGGCCACGATTGACTTCTTGTAGGAATGAGATGTATTTAAAATCAATTAATCACTGAATGGTGATCACCACCATCTTATCTCAAAATAGTGCCCACAGTGTCGAGTCACCTAGAGTATTTGCCACATTGCGACATGGTCGATTGGATTTGATTTACACCAAGAACGACCTGATACACATGACAGTGATCACTACCTAGTGATCAATCAATTGCGATAACAGATCTTGGATTTTTAGCGCGATATTCATTCATTCATTCATTTGTTTAAATAGCATTTTGGTATTTTAGATGATGTCAGTTTGTGATGAAAATCCCCCAAATCTAATTTTTAACTTTAACTATCCATTATAAATCATAATCCTTATTGTTCCCTCTGGTTTATAATCTTCACTTAACTCTTGTAAGTAAGTGGATAATTACAAGGCCAATTTAGCGTTGTTCATAGGTCGTCCATAAATTTTAGTCTCATCTCAGATGTTTTCGATGACATTGATAAAGTAAATAAATGACTTTTACATTTAACATAATGTATATTTTGAGGTTTTTCATTATTAATCCATTGTAAAAGTTTATTCACCTCAGTTTTTTCGTGAGGGGGTTGGTTGGTAAAGTGGAATCCCGGTCCCTCTTAAAAAATGAAATGGAATGCTTTTAGCATTTTAAGTAGATAATAATTTTCATGAATGTAAATCAGTTATATGAATGACTACATGATCATTTCGTTTTGACTTTAGCATTCTAATGTAATAGTAGGCGTCAACATACACAAGTAGAAGATCAAGATCCTCAAATACAACATGGAGAGCACCAACACAATCACACTGGAAGGAGAGACTCTGGAAGATGTGGAATCTTTCACGTACATGGGAAGCATCATCGATCAACAAAGAGGATCTAATGCAGACGTGAAGGCGAGGATTGGCAAAGCAAGAACCGCATTCCTAGAATTGAAAAACATATGGAACTCAAAACAAATGTCTCTCAACCAATATCAAAGTGAGAATCTTCAATACGAACGTCAAGGCAGTTCTACTATACGGATCTGAAACATGGAGAACTAATACAACCATCATCAAGAAGGTAAATGCACTTATAAATAGTTGTCTATACAAGATACTCAACCTCCATTGGCCGGATGCCACCAGCGACAGCCTTCTATAGGAAGGAAAAACCAGCTTTGAGCTGAAGAGGAAATTAGGAAATGACACTGTAAGTGGATAGGACATATATTACAAAAATCACCAAACTGAGATGGTGGAGAAGATTTGTAGTTCAGGTGGATGATGTTGATGGAGTTTTGTTCTCTGAGCTGGATGGTTTGGTCGCGAAGCTTTCATTGTTCTTCTGAACGACATCATCAGCACAAACTCCAGATAGAAGTGAAGCGCTCGAATTTCTCCATATGTTTTTCACAGCTTGTCCTGTACACCTCGATGTTGATTGATTCTTGCTGACCATACATTTGTCATTTTTTACTTCTTTGTTTTGGTTGTACCTCCCATTGGTTTGATTATTGTTCTTATATTTGTGCATAATTTTCCTGATTGGTTGATAAATTAAATCGACTTCAATGTGCTTCTTTATTGACCTGAGTGCCACACTTCTAAAAATTCACTGGTGTTTCTGAAATTTCCTCCATCCAAGATTTCCAAATTTTTCCAGTCAAATGAGTGTCCGCAGTTATTCACGTGTGCATTGATAGAAGTGAGAACATATCATGGCGTTTGACCGTTAATTGATGTTTATGAAGGCGAATTTGAAGAGGGCGTCCACTTTGTCCAATGTTGTGTTTTTCTCAGTTGGCACAATTTATTTTGTAGATGATGTTTCAAAAGAACGTCTACCTAATCAACTTTATCAAAAAATAACAGCAGGAAGCATCATCAGTATCCAAGTCTAGCATAGAAATCAACAAAAGTATCATCCTACTATACATAAAAGGCATATCACAGACCGCAACAACACTGCTGAAAATCTTCGAAATCGGTGTTACACACAAACCGACAAAATCACCACAATCAATCCTATGCAAACCATAGGATGAAGTAACAAAAGATGACAAGTCAAGCATCATCTTTAATTGGCAGTATCATCACATTATACATTAATAGGATACAGGGCATAAGTTCTAACATATATGTATATAATAAGATCTCTACCTGTATTAATGATTTGATATGATCAAATTTTTGATCCATATAATATGTTGCAGTTTCTTTAGCAAATAATTTTTTTAAATGATTTTCCATTAAATACTTAAATAATATATAAGTACTAATTTCAATTTCATTAAATAATTCTATTGAATTATCATTTATTATCAATGAAGATTGAATATTAGTATATCTAGATGATGATGATGATGATGATGATGATGATGATGATGATGATGATGATGATGATGATGATGATGATGATGATGTTGATGTTGATGATGATGATACTGAATGTTCTAAATTTAATGCTAATAATGGTGCAACTATATCACACATTCCTTGAGTATATTCATCATCAAGATATTCCCATACATAAGTTAATAAGATTCGTTCAATTGTAGCTAAATTACGATCACCATGTGAATCTTTAAAAATAAAAGAAAAAAGAGGAGAATAAACACAGATGATGATTATTGTAGAATTCATACACATTTATATTAGATGATAGAAAGAGATATCATGGTAACAAGATTGATAGAAAATATTTAGGGGTAAAATATGAATAACAGAACATTACTATGCTTAGGCATAGTTTTCTAATCTTTACAACGTACTTACGGCTCCATCTAACTCTAAATTGGGCAATCCTTTCCAGTTCTTTCTAGTTGTTATTCATCTTTTTCATATCTGGTTTTATTTTCCGACGTAATGTGTTCTTTGGCCTTCCTCTTTTCTGTTTTCATTCAGGATTCCGAGTTAGCGCTTTTCTCGTGATGCAGTTGGATGATTTCTCTAATGTATATCCTATTCACTTCCACTTTCATTTTCTAATTTCCTCTTTAGCTCAAAGCTGGTTTTTTCCTTCCTATAGAAGGCTGTCGCTGGTGGCATCCGGCCAATGGATGTTGAGTGTCTTGTATAGACAACTATTTATAAATACATTCATCTTCTTGATGATGAATGTATCAGTTCTCCAAGTTTCAGTTCCGTATAGTAGGACTGTCTTGACGTTCGTCTCCAGGATACTGGGAGAACAAATGAATCATGAACCTATTGTTGGTCACCGACTACCAGATGTTGCTTCACTGCCTTGTGGATAAGGGCCTTTCAGTCAAAGGATCCGAGTGTAGCCCTCTAAGAAGACCACCTGCTTTAGTCTAAGCACCCCAGCAGTATCAAAGACCTCGCACAAATCAATGATAACTGCTACTGACCTCATTGTTGTGTGGAGCATATGTCCTTGGTGATCCCTCGTACCAACTTTTATGTGTTCAAATAAATAGAAAAATAATGCTTCCCGTACCTGAAAAGACTAACCAGTTGAGTGTGTTATTTTTACTGATAAGATATAATGTATTGCAATTATTTAATTTAGCTAACAATAACCGATGAAAAGGTTACCATACATTTAACTCTAAGTAAATCCATGCTTGTCTCACTGTTCTAGTGGTTAAGCGCTCGCGCGTGAGACTGATATGTCCTGGGTTTGAATCTCGCGAGACATGGTCATGGATGAGCACTACTGAGGTGTCCAATAATAGAACGAAACGGCCATCCAGTGCTTCCAGGTTTTTCATGGTAATATAGCTTCAATTGACTCATGAAATCCATGCTTAATACAGAATTTTAAGCTAGTCAACTTACTAACCAAACATTCACAATCAAATAATCTAGGATATTGAGTTATTTCAATCAGTAATAACAAAGTAAAAATTTAATGATCCATGGTAATAATAAGAAGATTGAACAATCAATAGATATGAATGTTTCTTCCTTATTCATCAATACGAGATCATTTATATAGATTTACTATTTGTAAAAAAAGATCCACTCTGTATCACGCTCTCCGCTAAAATGGTAAGTTTAAGACTCTCTGATCTTGACCTGTCAGGCCACCGAAATCCGTTGTTCACCTAGCATATCTGGGACGTTCAACGCCTGCGCTCCAACGACCTGCTGAACTATTTACATGCAATGTCCGCCCAGCAGCCGCACGTCCTACTGCACTTTTTCATCATCAGCACCTGCTACAGCCAACACTACCCCACCAGAAATGTCTACTCGACAGCAAATCTTTTGAGCAGACCACTCCAACTAGCACCTCAACAACAGCACCCTCTCCCCTCCCTAGCTGGCAGAGTCACTTAAGTGTATCCATCATTTCTCCTCTCATAATAATAAGTACTATATCAGGTCTATTCAATAATAAAGCTACTTATTTCTAAAATATAAACGTTATTGTTTATTGTAGCCCAGTACAACTAAAATCTGTTAAATTTTAAATTATGTAAATATTTATGTTTGTAAAATTCTTGGCAGTGCTCATCCACGATCCGTCATTTGGGATTTGACTAACTTCGATAGGTAATCTTCAAAGTTCTCGTGAGGAATTATGACCAGTGAAGTCCAATATGTGTCACGTGTGAGATAATTATGCATTTTGAGATGATGGAGAAGATTTGTAGCTTAGGTGGATGATTTTGATGGAGTTTCGTTCTCTAAGAAGTTTGTGCCAATGATGTCGTTCAGAAGAACGATGAAATCTCCACGACCAAACCATCCAGCTCAGAGAACAAAACTCCATCATAATTATGCATCTTAGACAATTAATGAAGGGTTACACAAGATCATAAATCAGTTGAAGTATTTATTGTATGGTTCTCAAATCTTACTAAGTCGTTCTGTTATTTCATATGTATATACATCCGAATATCCCCCCATTTGTCTGTTCTCGTTCACTACAATCTAACTATCAACTGTTAAATTTTTATAACTTCGCCTGAAATCCCTCCGGAGGCTACTGTTGGTCCAAAGCTCGGATAAAGAAGAAGGGTTGGGCATAGTATTAGCGACCCCATCCCGTAGAAAACCAACTTGCTAATCAAAAAATACGTTTACCAGACAAAAAAATTATTCAAACCATTTATACTCTACCCTAGGAGTTAGAAGGTCTTCCATGTAGAAGAGTTATGACACCTTATAATGAAGAAATTCAATAGATCGTTATATATATATAAACAATCAATTTTTATCTTAGAAACTTACCAAATTTAGAATAGACACAATTATTTCTATCACATCTTACAACATCTTTCTTTACAGAATCTAATGCATGAGAAAATTGTTTTAATATATTTTCCTATATATGAAAAAAAACACACAAAAATTGTAGCCAATTAAGTATATTCAATGAATGAATTGGATCATTATATCTTTTATGATTATTCAAATATTTCAATAATTGAAATCATGAATCAATTAAAGTTAGACTATTCTGAAGAAATCCCATGAAGAATCCCATAATAGGACGAAACAGTCGTCCAATGCTTCCAGGTTTTTCATAGTGGTTTCGCTTCAACTAACTCATGATATTAACTATTGAACTTATTATGAAGAACTGAGAAGAACTGAACAGGAAATTTGTCTTAGTATAAGATTTCATGGATTGGTTGAAATTAGATATTAACACCATTGGATGTTGACCAGATCAGTGGTTAAACGTTCACACTTGAAACTGATCGGTCCTGGGTTCGAATCTCGCGAGGCAGGTTCATAGATGCACACTACTGAGGAGTCCTACAATAGAAGGAAACGACCATCCACAATGCTTTCAAGTTTTCCATTGATGGTCTTGTTTCAATTGATTCATGATCTCAACCATTAAAATTCCTATAATATTGATAAAAACCCTTTAATGTTATTCTCCAAATATCCACATGTCAATAGCATTGTCTACTTGAATAGTTTATATTATAAATGTTTGACATGTATTTATGCCACAGATACATAGTTAGATAGACAGACAGACTGACTGATAGATTGATTGATAGATTTATAGACATATAAACATAGATAGATGGGCAGACAGACAGATAGATAGACAGACAGGTATACAGATCTATAGAGATAGATAGACAGACAGGCAGATGAATGCATGGATGGATGGATGGATAATAATAAATAAAATAATGCATCCCAGGAATCAGTTATTAACCAGAGTTTTTGGATCAATGTTTTTTCCATTTGAAGTAAATCCGTACAACTTCTCTTTCATCATACAGATCGATAGATAGACATGTAGATGGATGGATGGATGGATGGATAGATAGATAGATAGATAGATAGATAGATCTCTCACAACTTCTCATTCATCAATGTTAACCGTTTGAGTAAATATTAATAAGAAAAATAAAATGATTCAAATTTATGTTACAAAGTGTTTTTCTTTTTTTTTTCTTTTCTCATTCTTCATTCATCGTGTTTTTCTTTTATTCACCTAATTCAAAGAAGGAAATTTCAATGTTTGATGATTTCATTTATAAAAACTAAGAGAATGTAAGAAATGATGGATAGTGGCTAACAGTGAAATCCAGTTTGACGCGTGTTTCGTCCTATTTGGGACTCGTCAGCTGGATGGGTTTACCTACATCTCAGAGTTGATTTTCACTCTAGAAATTGAACCCAGTACCATTCGCTTCAAACGCCATCGCGTTATCCACTCAGCTACTGAATGAATTTAAATTCATCCCATTGCACAAGCAAGTGGCTATCAGGACTCAGTAGCTGAGTTGATAACGCGATGGCGTTTGAAGCGAATGGTATTGGGTTTGAGTCCCAGAGTGAACATCAACTCTGAGATGTAGGTACATCCATCTGACGAGTCCCAAATAGGACGAGACGAGCATCAAACTGGATTTCACTGCTAGTGACTATCCATTATTGCTTACAAAAATCCTGTGAATTAAGGCAATATCGAGGCATACGCACAGGATGCAAATATGCCAATAACAGACTGATCAATTGCAGTTTTAAAAACCTCAATGGGAAGATACAAGCCAAACAATACCAAGTGAATTTAAGAGAATGTAATTTGTAATCTTAATAGACGATGTTATGAGTCAATTAAAACTAGATTATCATAGAAAACCTAGAAGCACTGGATGGCCGCTTCGTCCTAGTATGGGACTCCTCAGCAGTGAGCATTCATGATCCCACCTTGTGAGATTCGAACACATGATCTATCAATCTCTCGCCTGAATACTTAACGTCTAAACCACTGAACTGGACGGCATCCAATGATGCAAATATCTAGCTTTAACTAAAGCATTTTATATTTAATTTATTTGTTAAGAATGTAGTGTATCAAAATATTTTGTCTTAATAACAGAACTTTGATTCTACTCAATCTAATGAAGATACTAACATTTATAATAAAATTGTTTATGTTATATTCATTTGACTTTTCTTTCAGCTGTCTATTTTAATCCTTTTCTATTTATATATATTAAGGTATTTATGCTTGGTTTATTCGACTAATTTTGTTTTAAACGCTGCTCTCTGAAAAGTGCGACGTCGTTTAAAGCGAACGGTACTGGATTCGAGTCTTGGAATGAACATCATGTCTGGGATATATGTACATTCAAATGACCAGTATCAAATAGAACAAAAAAAACACACATCCTGAATTCCGTGGTTAGCCACCAACCATAATTGTTTCTGATGCTTGTGACTTAAGTCAATATCAAGGTCATTCGCACAGGATGCATATATTGCCAATAAGCAACTAATAAATTACAGCTTTAAACATTAATGAGAAGATTCAAAGGTGGTTAGAGGTAGTCGACAGGAAACCCTGGACCCAGGTTTCGTGCTAGTTGGTACTCGTCAGCAAGGTGTACCTGTAATGTTGAGGGAACTGGTGCTGTCTGACCTTATTCGATTCGGTCGCGGCCGGATAGCTCAGTGGGAATGTCTCTAACTATGAAGCTGGGTAATACAGGATCGAATCCGTCAGAGAGCACCAGTTCCCACAACATTACAGGTACACCTTGCTGACGAGTGCCAAGTAGCACGAAACCCGGGTCCTGGGTTTCTTGTCGACTACCTCTAACCACCATCTAATCTCAACATAGTGCACGCATTGTCGAGCCACCTAGACTAGTGGCCACATTGTAACATGGTCGATATCATTCGATCTGTACTGAGAAGGACCTGACAGACATGACATTTATCACCACCCAGTGATCAATCAATTGTGATTAATGAGAGAATTCAAACTACCAATACAAAACAATTGATATCATTAAAGACAAATTTACTAATTCTTACTTTATATTCTATTAAACAAGATGAATTGTGTGTCGGATTATCAGTAGTTTGACAATTGTTCATTTGTGATAATAATGTTGTATTTATGGTTTCATTTTGTTCCATATCACGAATAATTTTCTCTATTTTAGTCCATTCTTTTAGTTTTTCATTATAATGTATTTTTAATTGTTCATTGATAGTTTGTTTTTCTTCTTCACTCATTGTCCAATTATATACACCTAGTAGATAAGGCCAAACCTAAACACATATACAAAGATATAGATACATATTTATGTACAAACACAGATTCATTTGTATAGATTAAAGTAAATCATATGCTCACTGGTGACTAGCTTCGAGAGGTAATTCTCACGCATCTAGTGAGAAGCCATGACCAGAACACAATGGAACAGAGAGTGTATACAACTACGCCATTGTGATTGATTCTAAGCCATGTCACCAAGAGTCTCCAACCTTTGGTTACGATAGTCACACGGACCCCAACCAAGTAGTCTACATCTACTAATATGGCTCAGACTAGAAGTTAGTGACTTCAAGCACTGATGCCACTTTTCGATTTGGCTACCATTAACTTTCTTCCAACCATCCTCAATACTAGTCAGAATTGCTCGTTGTGGTAATCGGTGTTCAAGCATATGTAGCACGTGGCACAACCATCTCAGTCGATGAAGATTCACAACCTCATCGACTGATTTACCATCATTCCCTAATACCCTGGCGCTTAACCTCACTAATACTTACCTGGTGCTCCCAGCAGATGCCAGCAATATTTCCAAGGCATATGTAGTCAGATACTAGTAGCTCACGAATATCTTCAACTCTTAATGGCCATGTTTAGCAGCCGTAAACAAAAACGGTGAAAGTGAACAGCCTTGTCGGACAGTACTTGAGGTTGCAAAAGCAGATGACAGTTTTCCATAAGCTCTGGCTCGACTAAAGAGCCTTCACAAGGTTTATATACTTCTGATGTATGCCTTTCAATAACAGACACTGCCACAGAACCTCTCGGTCTACAGAATCAAATTCTGCTTTTAGATCAAGAAAAACTACCATTGTCGGACACCGATAACTATGTCTGTGTTCTACGACCTGACGAATGGTGCACATCGTGGATTGATTTAAGTTACACATTAACATCGTTGGATAACGGCTAAAACTTAAGAGTTTGAGTGCGAGACCAAATGTTCTCGGTTCGAATCCTACATGCACGATCGTGGATATGCACTGATGGGATATTTCTTACTACAACAAATCGCCCATCTAGTTATTCCAGGTTTTCAATAATGGTCTCACGTTGATTGGTTCATTATCTCAATTAAGATTAAAAACATTTAAAGTTGGAATCAATAAGCATTGAGAGATAATTATGTAATTCCAGTCTGTATATGATTTATCCACACAAAATGACAAATGAATTATTAAATCATAGATATAAACCCATTACACTTGGCGACTAAAACGTTTGGGTGATTGTTTTTTTCAATTCAGATTATTCCCAGAATTGTTGACATTTGAATCAATATTCTAAAACATCTAATACCATGCTTATATGTTTGAGTAATAATTACCATTTGTTGCTAACCCAAAAAATTAAAGGTTTCCATATCGTATCTTTCATGGTATCTATACAAAGCCCATAGAATATAGATGTTGAATGTATAGAATGATCTATCATCTATTTAAAGTTTGATTACTCTTAATAATTCTTCACACTACGAATGTGTTTTTTTTGAGAATACGATTGTTTGTTGCTATAACAAAGTATCAAACAGCAGATATGTTAGATGTAAGTAACTAATTGATTCTAGTTACTCAATAGATCTAACAGAAAACATGTTTTTTCTCAAAGAGATTGTATTAGTTTACTGATAGATGTAGATTTGAGTCTGTGATCGACTATAAACTACCATGAAAATATATAGTTACACAGCATCAAAAGAAATAATGACTTGATATAAAGAGTCAATCAGAAGTAGCAAAAAGTCAATCGATGACAACCGGAAGTGACGTAAAGGTCAAATGCACTTCATTGAAGTTAATTTTCTAAGGATACAGTGGTATATATATATATATATATATATATATATATATATATATATATATATATATGTGCATTGTATTCTGTAGTCCAATACACTTCTGTTGAGGAGGGTAGATCCCCAGAACTCACATGGAAAAGGTCCGAATTTTGTAATTTTATTCCTAAAATTTAAATTTAATATTTTTGCGCGAAGAGAAGTTTAGTTGACCTACAGTTTACATTTCCCACCTGGAAATCTTTGACTGTCATTGGTTGACAGATTTATTTTAGTACTCTTTTTTGTGGCTCTCCCAAGGGCGTTCCTATCATTGTATAAATAAGCTTGATTTTTATGCATAATAACGTCGTATTTTCTGAGTGCTTGTAGAATATATTGTCTACGCCTCATCAAGACTTCTTGGTCTAGTTAGCAGGACCGGGGACAACGGATTAGAATAGACTATCGTGTCACTGTATCGTTGATCTTCATTCTATTTACCAAGTAAGTGAACTCGTAATAGCATTCCAGCATGTCAAATTCCTCTCTCACTTTTGTGTTCTTGCTCAAGTGGTCATTTGGATGGTTATCAGGTAGCACACTGTGCATTATTATCAGATTTCGGACACCGCACATCACAACAGTTCTGATTATTATATTAAAGAGAATGAGTATGAAAATTTGAGAAGATTAATTGGAACTCATACAATTTCAATAGGTTCTCGTCCTCGAATTTCTTGGTACGGCCGGCAGTGGGGAGAGACCACTCACCCTCTCGAAGTGCTCTCACATGGCAACGCGCATATAGCCTATGCCAGGGAAGTCCTACTCACTGCCTTCTCGCACCGCGGGTGTTGTTTAAGAAAGCGAGAGGACAAAAAGCGAATGTCTGGCGATTTAACGGGGTCGGTGGACACGGAGAGTCCACCTAGGGAGTTGGAAAACCCTGATTCCAAACCAATAGTGCATATGGGTTCCAGGATCCTGAGGGAACAAATGACGTATGAACCAATCATTGGTCACTGGTTACCATGGGACTGCATCTCCTGATGTTGTTCTACTGAATTGTGGATCAAACCTTCAGATCGAAGGCTCCGGGTGTGTCCCCCCAGGAAAATCACTTGTTTCGGTTTGAGCACCAGGGCAGTATCACAGTCCTCACACTGATCAAATGAGATTTGTGTGGCGCATATGAATCTGGTGCCTCGTTGTATCAATATCTATGTATCCAAATAATAAAATAATACAATAGGTTCTCATCAGCTGCTTACAACTTATATATTAAAATCTAAATAACATATCAATTTCAAATACATAAAGAAGTAAATATTTAGCATCATAATGCAGAAGAGATGCAAAATATAACTATTAAGTTAAAGAAAATTAGTAACTAAATGCTATAATTGAAAATATTCAATCAGTCATTTCAACATAGTATCCTGGGGGAGGGCAAATATCTAAGAAATTTACATTACTGACTGACTTGGAGACTCTGGGTGATATGGCTCAGAATCGATCACAATGGTGTAAGTGTAAACACTCTTTGTCTTGCCTTAAACCGTCAGATTAAAATCACTTTATATCTTTCTTCCTACGAACTAATTCTTTCTTCCTGTACTATGTCCTTATATGCAATCTTTCTTTATATATATAACTACCATCGAATTAATTACTTCGATGAATTCGGTGTTCATCTTGTTGGGCTAATGAGATGTGACAACTTGGATCGATGCACATATGTGCCTGGTCCTTCGTTGTAGCTGACTGGCTGACTGATTGACTTTAGTTAGACGACCGATGAAAAGCTACAAACACTAATACATGATTCCTCATCAATGCTGAACAATCTGTTCCAATATTTTACCGAAGTAATTATATATTGATAACTCCACCCGGAGTCCTTTTCGGGGGGCTACTGCCGGTCCCAAGCCCGGATAAATGAGGAGGACTGGGCATGGGGTTAGCGACCCCATCCCGTAGAAAACTAACTCGCTAAAAAAACGCTAACCAGAAAAATAAATTCTATATTGATAAATTTACCTCTATTCAAATTAGATAATTAGGCAGATTTCAAATGTTCAAGATGATTATCCATATGAGCATCATATCGTCTTGATGTATAACTTGAATTACGAATAAACTTCAATGAATTTTATTATTTCACATTAGAGTATTAGTTAATTGAATACAAAAGTAATGTTAAAGAATATAGTGAACGCTAGTAGTTAAACGATTCAATATCTTTTCTGATATTAAAGAAGATATATCTACTATTTTCAATGATACTTGATCTTTAGTTGCTATGCGATTTTTTTTATTTGTTTGACAAATTTGTTTATCACAGATTACTAAGTGTTCATCCAATCAATAAAGGTGGGACTCTTTGTATAATGTCACATTATACATTCATTCTATCTCTCATATGAACCATAACTCATTATTATTATTATTATTATTATTATTATTATTATTATTATCAGGAACTGTATATGGAAAACGATTTAGCTACAATAAACTTACAATAAACTTACTTCATTGCGTAATTCTGAAACACAACCTCCAAAATATATACATTCATAAATGGATCGAGGATCAAAATTCTGTGAAGAATTAACATATAAAAACTTGTCAGTTTATTTATGTTGTATCTCGATAAGAATATTGAATGGTAATTCTTGGGATCCAATTATGGACCGATATTATGAGTATATTTTTACCGTATAATTGTCACGTAACTAGTCTGTTCATATCCATGTCCCTCTTATTATGAGTTTTATTTCGACCTATGAACTATCATTGTACGATTTACCATTCTTGAGTTATGCCCTGTCTATTGATTCCTATCTCCCTCATTCACAGCCACATCTGGCTAATTATTGTACGAATGTTGTTTCATATTTTATTGGTACGTTGTGGTCTGTTTGATCGGTATATAAACCGAGTGTGTTTGAAATATAATGATTCATATCTCCGAGGCTGAGACTTGTGTTCTGGACTCAATTGGCTGGGCTAGACAGGGAAGCAGGACCAATCAGAGCTCTAGGCTGCTCGGTCGTATTTTGTGCGTCACTGTTTCGATCGATAATAGGCTGCTCTCTAATAGGCGGATCACACACATTATAACAATTTAAACAAACAAACAAAATAATACGTCCTACTGAGGAGTCTCTTTTCAAGACGAAACAGTCATCCAGTTGTTTGAGGGTTTCAATAGTAATCTAGCTTAGATCAACTACTTCCACGAATCCCCCTTTACTAAAGAAATAATATTCTAAACCAATCATTAATCAAATATATATATATATATATATATATATATATATATATATATAAACAAGATCTAGTTAACAATTGTATTAACAGCCAATATTTGGTAAACTTTTCCGGTTTCGATACCATAATAAAGTTTATCAAGGTGTGATATGTACTACTGATGACAACAGATATAAGTAGTATGTATCATCAATCGAAAGTGTGATGTCTGGAGGCCGAAAGTTAGGAAGATTGAAAAAAAGAGAACAAAAATAAAGAATGATTGGTGTAGATACGAAAGAACAATGATGTGTGAGACAATTGATTGACATTTTGCAAATGAAGTATTCACTGTATAGTTCACACTTTTTACTAAGATGTTCTATAATTGTGTGTTCGAGTACATTCGATTGTCCTCAATTGTGTTCTCGTTTACAACAAAGAAACATAATTGAAATGTTGATCATTTACTTTTACAAGTCTTTTGACTAGATTAAAAGTAAAGCTATGTCAGAGATATAGAGATGTCTTCTGACTACCATATTACTTTCAATAATCAGTCTAGTTGAAATAGATTTCGATCAATATAGGATACGGCCATTTCACAATTGATTGATCACTGGGTGGTGATCAATATCATATGTGTCAAGTCCTTATTAGTGCAGATCGAATGCTATCGACCATGTTGCAATGTGGCCACTAGTCTAGGTGACTCGACAATGCGTGCACTATGTTGAGATTAGATGGTGGTTGGAGGTAGTCGACAAAAAACCCTGGACCCAGGTTTCATGCTACTTGGCACTCGTCAGCAAGGTGTACCTGTAATGTTGAGGGAACTGGTGCTTCCTGATGGATTCGATCCCATGTTACTCAGCTTCACATTCAGAGACCTTATCACTGAGCTATCCGGGCCGCGACTTCCACCATCTAACACGGTCATTTGCCTAACGTAATTGTCAAAGAGTATTTGAAATAAATACTTAAGAACTCAATATGAAGTCGTATTGAAAAAGTTTGTAAGCAAATAGGTTAGGTAATAAGATATACCATAAGAATGTAATCTGTCTTAGTTTCAAATACATCTAATCTGTCTAGAACCATCCGGCTTATCAGTATTCTGCTTTAGATTGATGTCAAAACTCAAAAGTCGCTCAGTTGATTTTTGCTTTTCTCATTCTAGGAATACATTCCTTACTCTTCTTCACAATCTCACTAAACAATGGGCTTAAATAGTTTATCAGACTATATTCAAGAATCTAAAGGTCATTTAAAATTATCAGATGAATTTCCAATTTTTATAAAATTGATTTACGCTTTAAGAGACAATTAAGTTCCAGTGTGATATTTCAACACTTTCAAGATTTATTTATTTATATAAACATATAAACATTGGTGTAAGGAGGCACCAAATAGGTGTGCGCCACATAAATAATTCGATTTGTGTGAGGGACGGGATACTGCCCTGGTGCCCAAACGAACCAGGTGGTTTTCTTAAGGGGACACACCCGGAACCTTCGGTCTAAAGGTTTGATCCACAAGGCAGTAGAACAACATCAGGAGATGCAGTCCCATGGTAACCAGTGATCAATGATTGATTCATATGCCATTTGTTTCTTCAGGATCCTGGAACCCATGTGCACCATTGGTTCGGAATCAGGGTGGATCCTTTTGATCCACCGACCGTGTTAAAACGCCGACCATTCGCTTTTTGTCCTCTGAATTTCGTTAACAAAACCGCCACCACGAGAATGCAGTGAATAGGACCTCCCTGGCGTAGGCTATACACGCATGGCCATGTGAAAGCATTTGTAGAGAGAGAGAGAGCTGTTTCTCCCCACTTTCGGCCGTACCACGGCATTTGGCGGCTGAATCGTCAGGATCTAAGTGTTTTATCCTTTTGGGAGTTTGGTATTTAGTTATACTATAAAGGACGAGAACACAAGTGGGGACAATCGAATGTATCAGAATACCAAAATAACAGAACATCTTAGTAAAATATAAGAATCATACAGTGAATACTTCATTTGCACAATGTTAATCAATTGTCTCAGACTTCATTGTTCTTTCGTATCTACACCAATCATTCTCTATTCTCGTTCTCTCTCTTTCGATCGTATTAACCTTCCGCTTCCAGATATTTCCCTTTCGATTTATGATACATACTACTTAAATCTATCGATATCAGTAGCACACATCATTGTCGTTTCATTATTATTTGATTTTTTTGTTTAAACATTAAAATATAAAGAAAAACGATGACAATTTAAAAATCATACTGATCTGTTGGATGGATAGAATAAGGAAAATTTTGAATTTCTTTCACATCACTCTGTTTCACATTATCCTATATCGAATAACCCAATCTCATAATGATTATTTTGTTTTATATCTAACCTACTTCATTCTATCTTAGTATGTATGAAAGTCATTATGATATTTTAGTGCTTATACGACGGAACTATGAGTTTCTTTAATCTACAAGACATAGAAGATTTCAGATGTATTAAGTAGTACAGCATCATTGATAAACACGGTGGATGCTATGTCGATGTGAAGGCACGGATCGGCAAAACAAGAACAGCATATTTACAAATGAAGAATATCTGGAACTTAAAACAACTGTCTGTCAACCAACACCAAAGTCAGAATTCTCAATACAAGTGTCAAGACATTTCGACTATATAGAGTGGAAACTTAGAGAACTATGAAAGCCATCATCCACAAGGTACAAGTGTTTATTAACAGTTGTCTATGCAAAATACTTAGGATCTGTTTGCCAGAAAATACACGATTAGCAACAATCTACAATGGGAAAGAAAAAACCAGATTCGAGTGGAGAAAGTAATTAGGAAGAAGCATTGGAAGTGGATAGGACATACATTGAGGAAAGCACCGAACTGCGTCACAAGGCAAACCCTCGCATGGGATTCTGAAAGAGAAAGACCAAGCAACACATTACACCGAGATATGGAAGAAGAATGAACAAAATTTCGAAAAGAATGTCCAGGGTAGAATTGATTAGAGAATGTAGGTCATTGGTCTATGCTCCATTGAAGGTAACAGGTGTCAGTAAGTAAGTAATAATAATAAACTGAATAGAAAAACGATGTTAATTATAACTAATTATATTCTCTGTTCATCTACTTACTTTTTTATCTGAATTATTCACAAATAATTCATTCCATTTTTCTTTAGTTAATTTCTTATATTGATCAAATGAATTTGTATAGTTTATATTCGAATGTATAACTAATGATGATAGAAGCTTTCGTACATTGTTCATATGACAAGTATATGTATACCCTTAGAACAAAATATAACAAAATATGAAAAAAGAAAATAATAAATTCAATAAACAATAAGTGAATCAAATCCCTTTCTATTAACTGAATAGGTTAGTAATACTATAATCAATCATTTTATCTTTCATCAAATGTTGTCATTCCCAGTGATCAGCCAGTTTGATCCATTTTGTAAATGATCTGAATATTCATGATCGTGTAATAATTGTTATGTTATTCATGTCATGTCTTTCCCGGTGATCAGCCAGTTTGATCCCTTTTGTAAATGATCTGAATATTCATGATCGTGTAATAATTGTTATGTTATTCATGTCATGTCTTTCCCGGTGATCAGCCAGTTTGATCCATTTTGTAAATGATCTGAATATTCATGATCGTGTAATAATTGTTATGTTATTCATGTCATGTCTTTCCCGGTGATCAGCCAGTTTGATCCCTTTTGTAAATGATCTGAATATTCATGATCGTGTAACAATTGTTATGTTATTCATTTTTAACTATAATGTGATCATGTTCTATTTGAGTAATACTATGTTACATAACTATTTGTTCTAATCATTCTTTATCGTTTATTGATGAATTTTAATTACTTTGATTAAGTTGAACTTTGTGAATTTCTTGACCGAAAGAAACGTAATTGAAGTACTCCACAGTTCATTAGTCTGAAAATTAACCGTTCGAGTAAGAGACTAAAGGATATGGGTTTAATTTCTGTGTAAAGGATTGTGGATAAACATTGCGGAGGAGTTGTATATTAGAAAAAAAGGACCATCTACAGTTTTCAGGTATTTAACAGTTGTCTAACTTAGATCAGTTTATGATTTCAATGACATTCAACAGTGTTCAAAATTCCATACTGAAAATTAATTAATTATCATTTGGCTTTGAAAGTTCTTTCAATAGTTGAGATCATGAATCAATTGAAGCTAGACCACCATGGAAAACACGGAAGCACTAGACGGCCGTTTCGTCCTATTGTGGGACTCCTCAGTAGTGCTCATTCACGACCCCGCCTCGCGGGATCCGGACACAGGACCTATCGGTCTCGCGTCAGGCGCCTAACCAACTAGACCACTGAGCCGGCCGGTATGCAACAGTGTTAATGTCTAACTTCAATCAATCCACGAAATTGGGCGTCACATCCACCATTGTCATCAGTGAGTTACTATCTCACAACTGACCCGGTTGAATTCCACTGGTCATTGCTTCTCATTAGAACACAAGGATATACCTCTTGAAGCCAGTCACTAGTAAGCAGATGATTATTATGGGAAGGGGTTTTGTAAAGATTTTAGTGCTTCCAGGTTTCCAACGATGGTCTAACATCAATCAGTTTATGATCTAAATCAAAAACTTAATAATCACCACAACGCCTATACTGATAATTACTTTCATTATAAAAATCAACTTACAAGCTTTGAATGTTCTCAAAATTAATTGTAATTTGATTGTTGCAATTGGGTTCATTAGTTCTTCTTTCTGAGATATCTGATCATTTGAATTATTGATTGTATCATTTGTAAGTTCTATTGATGAATTAGTTTGTATGTATGTTGTATTATCTTGTTCTATGAAGACATCAGATTCCTTATTCATTGAGATCTTGAAAAGAAATGGAAAAGAATGTACTTTCATGAATAAAGTATGACTATATTTATGAAAATCATCCAATATAAACTACAAATCTTTATTACTATACTAATGATAATAGAAAATAGTGAATGGTGAGTAAAAAGAATGTCTAGGTTATGGTTATTGTCAATGAATAGATATAATAATTGAATTCACTAGTCAATCTAAATCAAAACTATCATTGAAAACTTGGGAGTAGTGGATGCCCATTTTGTCCTAGTATAGGATGGGTTATCGATGTTCTTTCACAACTTTAAACATGTGAATCAAACACAAAATCTAACCTCTGAATCATTGAGCCAGGATTCAGTGATGCTAATTTTTAACTTGAGTCGATTTATGATTTTGTACAACTCTTCGTTCATTGTCTTTAATGATCAATTTTTTCAAACTTAACTACACATTGGACTCTATTGGTCACATCAATTCCAATTCAACTATCTTTATAAATCCTCAAAATATAAATTAAAGTAAATATTTTGTTAATTAGTTTAATTAAAATGGATTTTAATCAACATTACTGTTCACTTTTATTGAAGAAATGGTATATGATCATTTGTCCAATATAATTGTCAAATAGTATATGAAGTAAATATGTGGATACTAATCACATTAATACTTGGTAACTTAACATGAAGTCATTATCGGAAATGTTTGTAAACAAGTAGGTTAGATAAAAAGAGATAACGAAAAAAATATGCAATCCATGATAAATCGATTTATTTAGAGAAGGAGCCACATTACAACTTATCATGTTAATCAAATATACAAGATCTTGGTTACCACTCTAGGCTTATAGATCGTTAGTCACATTTTCATTAGCTCAGTGGTAACGTCCGAGATTTTAATGCTGAGTAACTTGGGCTTGAATCGAATATAGAGCTCTAGTTCTATCAAAATATCAGGTACATCATGCTGGTATCCAAAAGTATCAAATAGTCTGTTTATTCAGCATTTACAATAATCTGGAGAAATTGCATATTTGATTATTGTTTGCTAACTATCTACGTAGAATATATCAGTCTGGAAATTTCATCTGTGATCAAAGAAACCTAAAGTAAACGAACATAGGTCATGATCTACTATTTCCGAATGTAATTATCAACAATACACACTTACACCTGTTATTCCTTGTGAAGGAGTATAAACCGCTCACCAGCATTCTCTATCCATCCATCAACAATAGGTAACAGTCATTAGTTGAGATAGTTAAATTGTCAGCTTTAATTATAAGATATAGGTGCATTTCGTTTATTCTAGTCATTATCTGTCGACTATTTTAGTATATAAACGATTAAAGATTCATTCTCTCCTGAATATAGAGTAGTCAGTAATTTATTTTTAAAATCGAGAGAAAATGATGAGCATTTGTAGTGGATTTCGTGTTTTTTAGTTGATTTGTTTAATTCTTGAACTGTTGTAATTTGTTCTTACTTAGCAGATCGATGTTGATAAAAGTGATGACTATTTAACGTAAGATTATATTCATGGTAATAAGGTTATACGTAACGTTTTCAGTATTCAATAAATATGTAATATCTAGCAATTTCGTCCATTTTTCGAAGCAGCACCCACGGACCTCCCAGTAAATGTTGGCCCACCAACAATTGAAGAGGTTGGCACAGCCATCAGACAAACCAAGAGCGGCAAACCAGTGGGAACAGACAACATTCCAGCGGAGGTAATGAAAGCAAACGTAGCAGTAACTGAAAAGATACTCCACGTTCTCTTCAGCAAGATTTGGGATGAAGAACAAGTATCAACAGACTGGAAAGAAGGATACCAAACAAGGGCGAGTGTGAGAACTATAGAGGCATCGCTCTTTTCTCAGTACCAGGAAAAGTCTTCAACAAAGTGTTGTTCAATAGAATGAAAGACTCATTAGACGCCTAACTTCGAAATCAACAGGCTGGATTACGAAAAGATCGATAGTGTACTGATCGAATCACAACACCACGGGTCATTTTGGAACAATTAATTGAATGGAATTCACCACTCTACATCACCTTCATTAACTAAGAGAAAGCATTTGATAGCGTGGACAGGACAACACTATAGAAGCTTCTTCGACACTATAGCGCACCTGAGAAGATAGTCAACATCATACGGAATTCCTATGATGGATTAAACTACATGGAGGGCAGCTCATAGACCTGTTCGAAGTAAATACAGGTGTCAGGTAAGACTGCTTACTCTCTCCGTTCCTTTTTCTCCTGGTGATCGACTGGATCATGAAAACGTCAACAACAACAGTAGACAGCTACGATGCAACTGAACGACCTAGACCTCTCAGACGATTTGGCACTTCAATCGCACACGCAACAACAAATGAAGGAGAAGACAACCAGTGTAGAAGCTGCTCAGCAACAGTAGGATTCAACATACACAAAGGGAAAGGCAAGATTCCCCGATACAACAAAACATGCACCAATCAAATTACACTTGACGGAGAGGCTTTGGAAGATGTAAAAACCTTTACATATCTGGGGAGCTTCATTGATGAACACGGTGCATCTGGTGCAGATGTGAAAGCGCGGATCGAAAAAGCAAGAGCAGCATATTTACAACTGAAGAACGTCTGCAACTAAAAGCAACTGTCTGTCAACCAACACCAAAGTCAAAATCTTCAATAAAAATGTCAAGACGGTTCGACTGTATAGGGTGGAAACTTAGAACTACGAAATCCATCATCCACAAGATACAAGTGTTTATTAACAGTCGTCTATACAAAGTACTTCGGATCAGTTGGCAACACATTACACTGTCAGCAACAACCTATTATGGGGAATAAAAAGCCAGATTCGAGTGGAGCAAGAAATTAGGAAGAAGCGTTGTAAGTGAGTAGGACATACATTGAGGAATGCACCCAACTGTGTTACAAGGCAAGCCCTCATCACTTGGAATCCTCAAGGCGAAAGGAGGAGGAGAAGACCAAAGAACACATTACACCGGGAAATGGAGACAGACATAAGAAGAAGAATGAACAAAAATTATATAGATCTTGAAAGGGAGGTCCAGGACAAAGTGGGTTGGAGAATCCTGGTCGTCGACCTATGCTCCATTAGGGATAACAAGCGTAAGTAAGTAAGTAAGTAAGTAAGTAAGTAAGTAAGTAAGTTAAGGTCATTTAATGGATAGGTATTAAATGTTAGAACGACTACTTCATAGCAAATTTAACCAACATCTATAAATCATCTATTAGAAACTAAAACAACTTACATCAAATCGCATAACTTTAAATATAACACCTTTAGTTCCTATATTTTTAAATCTTTCATCATAGATTATCAATGATCGTTTCAATTTACTCTGTTCATCATTAGAACATGTTTCATTTTTATTATTTGGTGTTTGAGTTGAATGGATTTCATTCTTGTTATTCACATCATCATGATCATTGATATCATCATCACCATCATGATGTTTGGATGGATCGTTATCATTTCTACTTTGTATGACAGTTGATTGCTTACAGATTTCATTAGATTCATTTGTTCTATTTAGAAAATCAATTAAATTCCATAATTTAAACTTGGTTTTCTGATTTTCATTTGATCTTGATTCCTTTGCTTCATCTTTTTCAATGACTTCTGAAACAAATATCAACAGATTTAAGTTGTTTAATAGTTGAATTCATGAGTCAATTGAAGCTAGACCATCACAGAAAATCTAAAAGTACTGGATGGTCGTTTCGTCCTAGTATGAGACTTCTCATCAGTGAGAATCCACTCGTTCATCTCAACAATTCTTTACCTGGTTCACCAATTTAATCCATTAAAATATACTGATTACATCATTATTATTAACTAGTGAAATACTTACATCGTTTATGAAATCTGTGGATTATACATTTACAATTTGTAATTGTCTGTCAAATATAAGTTTTCCAAGTGACTTTTTATTGATATCTTTACATATAAACACTGAACAGCTGTTTTGTCCTATTGTGAAACTCCTCAGCATAGCGCATCCATGATCCTGCCTCGCGGGATTCAAACCCAGGACCTATCAGTCTTTTTTATAGAATGTTTTAATTCTGATATTGTCAAGGTCGAATTTTTAGGTTTTGTGAAGTATTGGCTAATTGTAAATTTAACCCACCCCACCCTTATATGTACAAAAGCAATATGTCGTAACCTTGACTTTACCCTGGTCATCCTTAAGTCATTCTATGGCCTAAGATAACGTGATAATTACTTATTCTTTCTATACGATGTAAAATTGTTTCTCTCTCCCTTTGTTACTTCTTTTACTTGAACTTACATTTAATTGACCTTTACTAATTTTCATATAAAATTCCCTGACGAGTATATATATGACCAGGTTGTCCGAAATGTATAGCGCAATCGATAGCAACCAGAAGTGACCTAAAGGTTAAGTGCATTTCATTGGGGTCAATTTCCTAAAGACAGAGTGGTATATATATGAGTATTTGTACATTTCATTCGGTAGTTTAATATACTTTCTCTCTTAATCTTGTGTTCTTACTCAAGTAGTCAGTTGAAGGGTTAGCACGTAACACATTGTGTTTTATTATCATCGGATTTCGGACACCGCATATCACAATAAAAATGTTAGATAGAAAACATTTTTATCTTGTCAAAATATGAAATCTTTCCAATGATTAAATAGAATTGTTTATCAGACACTTGTTCATGTAATGATCCTGGAATACAAGGTATTTCTGATGAGCGGTAATAGCAACTTACATTAAGTTATGAGACATCAGAAATTCAATTTTCTGTTCATCAGGAAATTACAGAAATTACTTACTTACGCCTGTTACTTCTCGTGGAGGAGCACAGGCCGCCCACCAGCATTCTCCATCCAACCCTGTCCTGGACAATCCTTTCCAGCTCTTTTCAGTTGTTATCCATCCCTTTCATATCTGCTTCTATTTTCCGACGAAATGTATCCTTTGGCCTTCCTCTTTTCATCTTCCCTTCAGAATTCCATGTTAGGGCTTGTCTCGTGATGCAGATTGATGATTTCTGTAATGTATGTTCTATTCACTTCCAGCGTCATTTCCTAATTTTCTCCTCAACTGGAAGCTGGTTTGTTCTCTCCCACAGAAGGCTGTTGCTGATGGTATCCGGCCAATAGATGTTCAGTATTTTGCGTGGACAACTATTTATAAATACTTGCACCTTCTTGATGATGGTTATGGTAGTTCTCCAAGTTTCAGCTCCGTACATTAGAACTGTCTTGATGTTCTTATTGAACATTCTCACTTTGATATTGGTTGAGAGACAGTTATTTTGAGTTCCATATGTTCTTTAACTGTAGGAATGCTGTTCTTGCTTTGCCAATCATTGCCTATATGTCTGCATCAGATCCTCCTTCTTCATCAATGATGCTTTGCAGATACCTGAAACTTTCCAGATCTTCCAGAGTTTCGCCATCAAGTGTGATTGTGTTGGTGCTCTCCGTGTTGTATTTGAGGATCTTGGTTTTCCACTTTTGTATGTTGAGGCCTACTATCACAAAAATAGTCTTACATTATCCTTCATTGCCTGATTCCTTATAGCCTTTCATGAATCTCAAAACGTATTTGTTGTTAGATATAAAGAATTAAAATATAACCAGGAATTTAATTTAATTACCATCTAATTCAGTAGGTGATGGATTTAAACAGGCAATAGGTTGTAAACCTTGATCCAAACATAATAGAAAATTATAAACAGCATTGAATCCACCATGCAATCGTATTGGTGGATGTGGGATTCCATCAAAACCAATTAAAATGATACAATATTCATAAGATGCATCTAGAAATAAAATTTAGAGATTAAAATTATGATATTTGACAAACTATTTTCAATATTAATCATGAATGAAGGCTAGCAATGGAATCCAGGACTCGCGTTTCGTCCTATTCGAAACTCGTCAGCTATATGTACATGAGTCCTGAATTCCAGTGCTAGATACCATTCATCAATGCTGATGAAGCTTGTGGCTTAAGGTTATATCAAAGCAATTTTCATAGGATGCACATATGCTAACATCAGACTAATCAATTGCAGTCCTAAATAACAATGGGAAGATACAAGTAAAACAACATCAAGTGAATTTCAACTTCACCCTATTGAACAAGCAAGTGACTATAGGGACTCAGTAGCTAGGTGAATAACGCGATGGCGTTTGAATTGAACGATACTGGGTTTGATTCCTAGAGTGAACATCAACTCTGAGATGCAGGTACATCCAGTTGACGAGTCTCAAATAGGACGAAAAGCGTGTTAAACTGGATTCCACTGTTAGTCACTATCCATCTTTGCTTAAAATATTTGCGACTTAAGGCTAGATCGAGGCAATCATCACAGGATGCGCATGTAACCATAAGGGGGAGACTGATCAATTGCAGTCTTAAAGAACAATAGGAAGATACAAGTAAAACAACACCACGTAAATTTTTACAAATTGTTTTAAATTAAAATATTTGAATCAATGAATGCTAATCCAATGATATCTCAGTTTACTAGTTGCCAGGTTGAGTTACTTCTAAAGAATCCTAATACTGAGCTAACCAATTACCTAGTAACAGTTTATTTCATAACATATATCATCCATATGTTTATTTATAACTCTGACAAAAGTTAATTATCTAGAATAGTAACAGATATTTGTATGCATAGAATATAAATAAAAGAATTTCATGATCGGTTTCCGTTGGTATGTTATTCAGATTTTACTTCATATACGTTAATTAAGTCAATTATCACTACATACTGATAGTAGGCATATCAATGACATAGATTTGGGACAATGCTACTTATGTAATGATCTGTTATATCTACAGATTAGATTCTCGATATTACCACATACTACTTTCGTATTTGTATGCTAGAACCCTCCAAGTCGTAAGTCAGAAGATAGAAGACGAGAGAAAAGGAATGCTATTTTAAACAGTGTCAAATATGTTACAAAACTCTCGAGTATTTATGGTTTTTAGTAAAAACTAAGCCATCATCACTGCCATACAATCCGCATACAGTAGTTTTCAACATTTGTCTAATAGGGAATCTGCACGTTGAGATTCTGGAATGTTCTTTCAAAAGATGATTGAATGGTTTGTCTTCGGCTCTTCCTGAACTTTTTCAGATCCTACTTGAGTTCACCCGTAGGTCATCCTCACTCGAACGAAGACATGAGCAGAGATACGTAATTACAGAGAGTCTTACTACAATAATAAGAACCATACATGAAATACTTCATTTGCAAATGTTTATCATTTGTCTTATATATTCTGTAGGATTTTTTCAATTCATAATCCCTTTCTTATTACATCTCGACATTCATGGCCTTTTACTGCCAGGTTTTCCACTTCCGTTTTGGGACTACACACTACTTATATCTGTTGACATAAGTAGCATACACAACACTTGGATCAGTCAGTATTGATTATGAAAATACTTCTTTAATTCGACAGAACATTAGTCAACATGATGTACTTAGATTGTTTTCAAGTGTTAAAACTTTTCACCCATATTTCATTGCCAAACTAAAGTTTTAGTGATTAATTTTCCTAGCATTACACTTGTATTCATCAGAATAAACCTTAATTATTGATATACTCAGTTATAATTGTGTAATTTACCTTGATGTAGGTGAACATATTCAATTTTTTTCATTGATACTGTGAGAATTCCCAATTGGAAACCACTGAAAAATCATTTTAAAAATAGATCAAATCATATCTGAAATACCCGATACGTTAATTAAAATACTTTTAATTGAAATCATGAACCGATTGATGTTAGACCATCCGTTTCGTACTATTGTAGAACTCCTCAGTAGTACTCATCCATGATCCAGCTCGCAGGATTCGAAATCAAAGCCTTCAGTCTCGAACGTGAATGTTTAACCTCTAGACCACTGAGCCGGTATCCAACGGTGGTCTAACGATTTTGGTCTAATATTAGTTGATTCATGATCTCAATCAGAAACTTAATAATCTCCACAACCCTATACTGATAAGACACTTTTATCTTAGTAATTTTATATTTTAGAAATAATTGTTCATTTGTTCTGTTAACTGACTATCAATGCTCTTATCACCGACACATAGACATATAGTTGCTCATTAAAGCTTAAATATATCTAATAGTGAAATCCAGGACGACTGTTTCGTTTTATTTAAGACTCATCAATCAAGTGTGTCTGGATCTCAGAGTTGATATGTCAACGCGTTATCTACTTAGCTACAATTAGCATATTTCATCTATCCTATGTAAAATTGTACCATAACAGTCATATTATGACAACTCTCGTTAATTACATTATGGATGTAATATTGCTTAAAATTTTTAACTAACAACATACAGTAGTTATGAAATTACAATTTTCATCAGCACTCCAATTGCTTATGATAAAGAAAAATGTATGATTTCACCTTGGAAACCAACCATTAAGGATGGGAATTTTGAAATGTTAGGTTGGACTTCACAATGACAGGTTTTTAAAGTAACATTTTGGAGATGGATTAAAATGAACGTTTAGGAAATAATGAATATCTTACATAAACAATTGATAGTTAATGGTGATTATTAATATTCTCGTTTACTTTCAATTGTTGAGATTATGAGTCAATTGAAGCTAAACTACCATGGAAAACGTGCAAATGGCCGTCCAGTGATTCCAGGTTTTTCATGATAGTCTAGCTTCGATTGACTCATGATCTCAACAATTTAAATTACTAAAATCTCCACAAAATCCCCTTCTGATACTCATCAACATATGCTCACTAGTGACTGACTTCAAGACCTACTTTTGATAATCAAGGCACTATTCTTAACTTGATTGTCGTTACGAACTCCTGAAGCTTTCCAAAATATCTATCCATTACTTATTAAAGTTTATACTTTATTTCAATAAACTCAGTCTATATGAATAATTTTGAAAATCATATTTATATAAATTCATTTGATGGTATTGTTTTTATATGTATCTTCCCATTGTTATTTAGGACTGCAATTGATCAGTCTCTCTCTTATTGGCATATGTGCGTACTGTGCGTATTGCCTCGATATAGCCTTAAGTCACAAACATTTTAAGCAAAGATGGATAGTGGCTAACAGTGGAATCCAGTTTAACACGCTTTTCGTCCTATTTGAGACTCGTCAACTGGATGTACCTGCATCTCAGAGTTGATGTTCACTCTAGGAATCAAACCCAGTATCGTTCACTTCAAACGCCATCGCGTTATTCACCTAGCTACTGAGTCCTGATAGTCACTTGCTTGTTCAATAGGGTGAAGTTGAAATTCACTTGGTGTTGTTTTACTTGTATCTTCCCATTGTTATTTAGGACTGCAATTGATCAGTCTCTCTCTCTCTGTTTAATATGTATGTGAATTATCTCTATATAGACTTAAGTTAAAAGCTTTCAAAGTAAAGATAGGACGAAACGCACATCCTAGATTCTATTCCTAGCTACTATTCATCATATATAATGTTTCTGAAAGTAAAACAAAACCATCTACTTACTAATCAATTCTTTTATTATTCTTCATTAATTGTGAACTATGTGAAGTGATACATTTATCTAAAACATTATGATTATTTGATTCATATATTGAATTATTTAACATTTTTTGATCAATATTATATTGATTATTACCGTTGTCATGACAATGATCAAATTTACCATATGAAGCTTGTAATAATAAATCATTTGATGTCCATTTAATTAATAAATCATTTATAGAACTAATTAATTCAAAATAACCAAGAGAATATTGATCATCTCCTAACTAAAAAAAAGAAAGGAAATGTTATAGGGTATATTTAATCTTGTTTACTTAGTGTTAAAATATGAATATAAGTTGATGGTCAGTAGAAATTCTTTTGATAAGTTTTGCTAATTGAATGATAGATTCGATTTCTAGTTTCTGTTCTAGTAACTTTCCACCTCAGACTAGATCTACACAGTGACTTGAAGACGACATCAAAAGTATGAAATATGAAAGAAATAGTTTACTTCAAAAGTTCACTTATGTACTTTAGATGATCTTAGATTTCCGGAATATTCTGGAATGCTACTAAACATAGTAGCAGTATAGATAATTATCCAATCAGAAATGCCACATGTAACTTTTCATGTTTTTGATGTTTCTGACAAAATCTTCTATGGAATGTTGATTAGATAAGATGCTTCTCAGTGTTGTCAGAGTCTTTGTTGGAATTTTTTTTTGAGGAGTTTTCTTAATCTCCTCAACAGTAACTAGTCATTTTGGCAGGATAACTAATAACGTTTATATTCTACAAAGTTCTTAGGATTGATTTCGCTTTTTGGAATTCCTAATATATATATATATATATATATATATATATATATATATATATATATATATATATATATATATATATATCAGATTCACACACCTTGATTAATGAGTAATTAACTGATAAGTCTTGCTAATTAAACGCTACAATCGGCTCCTAAGCTATTGTCGTAACCCCCAAGCTAGAACTACACAACAACCTGAACATAAGTGGAAAGGTGGGAAATATGATAGAAATACTTTACTCCAAAAGTTCGTTTTAGTATAGAAAATCTAGGGTTTTTTTTAGTAATTTAGATGTCCTAGGGTTTCCCGTAAACTCTGGAATGCTACTAAACATAGTAGCAGTATAAGTAATCATCCAATCAGAAACTTGACATGTGACTTTTCACTTTCTTGATGTTTCTGGCAAAACGTCTATTGGATGCTGATTGGTTAAGATGCTTCTCAATGTTTCCAGAATCTTTCATGGAGTTTTTCAAAGGGGTTTTCTACATCTCCCCCCCCCAACATATTCACAACTATTATGGTGTAGTCTTTCTTTGTTAAGATGTTATATGTCATGACTGTTGATTCAGAGAAACTAGTTTTACTTGTTTATATCAAGTGGAATTGATAATCTATCACTTTCGAAATATGCCTCCAGGCTAACCAAAGTAAAAAATATCAGTGCTTATCAAGGTTGTATTATGTTATCTAATCAAGTAGTGGGGCATAGATGAAACAAAAGTTGAACAAATCTTCCTATTGTATTACTTAATCAAGGGGTAATACTATTGATATTGCTTGTTTGCATCTTTCCATTGATGTTTACGTCTTCAATTGATCAGTATCATGTTGGCATATGTGCATATTGTACGGACTGTTTCGATATTGACTTAAGTCACAAGTTTTATATATATGGACACAACGTTTCAGCTATGAAAATAGTACAATCTCTACAAAATCCCTATACTGATAATAATTATGCTGACATTAGTGATTAGCTTCAAGATGAATTTCCTGAAGTTCTAATGAGAAGCTGTGATCAGTGAAGTTCAACCGTATTTGTTTTGAGGTAGTTACTTACAGAAGACAATGAAATATGGTCGCGCAATATTGTGGATTGATTAAAGTTACATAATAACACTGTTCGATATCGGCTCAATGGTCTAGAGGTTAAATGCTCACATGCAATACCGAAGGTCATGGGTTAGAATCCCACATGGATGCACATTGCTGAGTATACCCATTCTAGGATGAAACGGCCATCCAGTACTTTAACGTTTACATTAGTAGTGTAGATTAGATTGACTCATGAGTTCATCTGTATTTTTATTCACTGATATATCTGTCATAATTTCACATAGTAATATGCAGTAATTAGGTATACACTCAATATTACCTAATTCTATAAAGTAACCTAATACTTTAACTGGATAACTAATTAGAACAATAGGTTATTTAGATGCTTACGTATAATGAACTGATGAGATGATTAAGCGGTATGCTTGAATATCTGGGTTACCTGTTTCCTATCATCTAGATATTTCAACAAGTTATCTGCTTCTTTGTTTGTTTTAATAGATCATTATGTCAATTTAATAGCATAAACTATTCAGGTGCGTTTGTGAAAAGCTTACAACCTTTTGTTTTACAAGTTACAAAAGGCGCAATCAAACATATCGTGATGGCTGACAATGCGCATTGAAAAGAAAGAATATTATACAGTTGTCAACTTCTGAAATACTAATATCCACAGTCAAGTACGTGGGATTCTAACCCAGGACCTTCTGTATTACATGTGAGCATTTAACCTCTAGACCACTGAGCCAGTATCGAACAATGTAAATCAATCCAAAATATTGCGCGACCATATTTCATTGTCTTCTGTAAGTAACTACCTCAAAACAAATACGGTTGAACTTCACTGATCACAGCTTCTCATTAGAACTTGAGGAAATTCATCTTGAAGCTAATCACTAATGTCAGCATAATTATTATCAGTATAGGGATTTGGCAATATACATCGAAAAGAATATACGTTAATGAGATGTTGATTCCTGAATTGCTAATATCTAACCGGCGATCGCTCAATATGTTATCGTCAATATCGATCAAGAAATAAGAGACGAAAACTTGCTGAAATACTTTGTGTTAACAATTCCATATTGTACCAAAAAGGTTATAATGAATAAAGCTAATAATAATAACACTATATAGGTGTTTATTCTTTTTGTACTTTTTATTCTTCCTAACTGTTATAAGACAACATTGTTTCTTTAACAATTGATTGATCACTGGGTGGTAATCAATGTCATGTGTATCAGGTTCTTCTTAGTGTAAATCAAATCCTATTAACCATGTCGCAATGTGGCCAATAGTCTAGGTGCCTCAAAATTGCGTGCACTATGTTAAGATAAGATGGTGGTTGAAGGTAATTAACAAGAAACCCTGAATCTAGATTTCGTGTTATTTGGTACTCGTCATCAACGTATACCTGTAATCTTGAAGGAATTGATGCTGATGAATGCCAAATAACACAAAGTCCAGGTCCAAGTTTGCCTGTTGACTACCTCCAACTATTATCTTATCTCAAATTGTTTCTTTCTTTAACTCTAGATGTTTTAATTAGTCAACAGAAGTTTCACTTCTAAGTCAATGGAAAAAAAGAAATCTCGAGAAGCTTTTGAACGTTTAACTTTATACGTATATGTATATTTTATAATGGAAGAGTTATTTAACTCTTTCACAAATAACTCAAGAAGTATTCAATAAACATTGAGATTATTGATGTTGTTCACTACTATACTGATATGTTCACTCTAATAACTAAATAACTTAAATAGAAAAACTATCTGACATTTTTATAGACCGTTGATAGACCACCAATCGAAAACCTAGAAACATTGAACGGTCATTTCGTCCTACTGTTAGACTACTCAGCAGTGTGCATCATGCTCCTGCCCCGCGAGATTCAAACCTAGGATCTATCATTCTCTTAAGCGAACGCTTAAACTCTAAACCACTATACTGGCCGGTATCCAACGGTGATCTAACTTCAATTGATTCATAAATTCAACTATTAAAATAATAATTAATAGACATTGAACAATTGAATTCATGAGTCAATTAAAGCTAGACCACCAATCGAAAACCTTGAAACACTAAACAGTCGTTTTGTCCTACTGTAAGACTCCATAACAGTGCACATCCACGATCCCACCTTTCGAGATTTGAACCTAGGACCTATCAATCTCTCACGCGAACGCTTAACCCTTTAGACCACTGATCTGGCCGGCATCTGGCATGTTTAACTTCAACTAACCCATCAAATTAATCGATCATTAGATTACATAATACCAACGTTAATTTCATTGTTATATACATAAAATCAATATAAAATACAGATTACCATAACATTATTCTTTCCATATAGTAATGTACTTTTTCTTGTTTGATATAAACTATCTATATTATTATTGTTACTGTGATCTGTAACTGACGAATCTGATAATGTAGAAAAATTTCTAATTTTTTTTAATGTTTTATCTATTTTTTTATTTTTATTATCATCATTCTTTTCCGTGTAAACTATCTGTAAATTGAAAAAAAGAAAAAAAAGAAAAAAGGAGAAAAAACAAAAAAAAGAAAACTTCAGTAAAACAATAAGTAAATGTTGAAAATGAAGAAATTCGATTCCGATAAGCATAATGAATGGTAACTTTGGGGATCTATTTATGGACTAATACTATACGTATATGTTTTATTGTATAATTGTTATGTAACTAAACTATTCATATTCATTTCCCTCTTATCATGAGCTTTATTTTGACCTGTGAACTATTATTATACGATTTACCATCTTTGAATTATTCCCTATCTATTAATTAATACCTCCCTCATTCACAACCATATTTGGCTAAATCTTGTACAAATGTTGTTTTCATATTTTATGGTACTGTGTGGTCTGTCTGGTTGGTATATAAACCCCAATATGTTTGAAATACATGATTCATATTACAAAGGTTGAGATTTGTGTTCTGGACTCAACAGGAAGAGGTAGATAGGAAGCAGGACTAATAAGGACTCTAAACTGCCCGTATGGGTTTTACGCGTCATTGGTCCGATCGATAATTCACTATTCTCTAATTGACGATATCATTACGTTATCCATTAACAGGGCACACAGGCCACAAGTTATAACAGTTATCAAATTGATATACAGTATTTAGTGGCTCTATATCTAACTCCAATAGGATTGTATTGTTGATCGTTATCGAAATACACATATTGGGTATTCTCATATATTGAGATGGTGGAAAAAATTTGTAACTTAGGTGGACGATTTTGATGTAGTTTTGTTCTCTGAGCTGGATGGCTTAGTCGTGGAGCTTTTATCGTTCTTCTGAACTACATCATTCGCAGCACAAACGTCAAGTAGAAGTGAAGTGTACAAATTTCTGAACATGTGGTTCAAAGCTTGTCTTGTAGACCTTGAGGTTGATTGGTTTTTGTTGACATTAAACCTGTCATTGTTTACTTCTTTATTTTGGTTGTATCTCCAATGGGTTTGATTTTTGTTCTTATGTTTGTGCATGATTTTCTTGATTAGTTGATAAACTGGAGCGATCTTAATGTTCTTGTTGATTGCTAATTGACCTGAGTGCCAAGCTTCTAAAAATTCGCTGGTGTTTTTGGAATTTCCTCTATCCAAGTTTTCCAAAATTTTCCAGTCAAATGAGTGTCCGCAGTTATTTACGTGCATTGATATGTCATGGCGTTTGACTGTTAATTGATGTTCATACAGGCGAAGATGAAGAGGGCGTCTGCATCGGACAAAGCGGACCAATCAACATCCTGATGTACAGGACAAGCTGTGAAAAATATATGGAGAAATTCGAGCGCTTCACTTCTATCTGTAGTTTGTGCTGATGATATCATTCAGAAGAACGATAAAAGCTACACGACCAAACCATCCAGCTCAAAGAACAAAACTCCATCAAAATTCTCATATATAATTATCGACTTAAATCTCGTTAGTGAATGATGGAATTAAATAAGTCAAATACGAGAATGAAGTTTTGAATATGTTTATTGCGTACAATCATTGATCCTGGCAGACAATCATGGAGACGGAAAGAAACGAATGTAAGAGAGAGAGAGAGAGAGGCGCAACACGGTATGACATGCAGTGGAGAAGTCATGTGAACCTACTCAATTTAACTAAACGTGAATCGATACTTATAATCAGACAAAAATAGGCTATAGATATGTAATGAGTGGAATATGATCTGTACTCACATACGCTTGTATAAAAATAGTCAAGGTCAATAAGCGAATAATTGACAAGGTGTTGGGACGGCTTCCGAGAATTATTACGGAGCCACCAGAGGCCGTAAAAGAGCCTAACAGTTTCGATTAAATCAGAACGTGATATAGCTTTCTTGAACATCAACGTGGCATACTACGATTGGACATTAGCATAACATACCTTTTGCGGATTGACTGAATTATAATGTTAATATAACAAACGCTAATATCTTTAAATACACATGATTTTTTGTACATTTTAATTCTTAACCAATAAACATTTCTCCAGCCTTCTTCTGTTTTCTTGTTTGTGACTGTAGGGTTCTATGCGTTCGAGTATCGCAGTTTTATACCGTGTTTTGCGTTAATCAAATAGCGAACATAACACAAGGTCAAAATGTGACTAAAGAAGAATGATTAAATTGACCTGTCCGGAAACCAGAATAAGCTATGGGGACTTAACATATCGCCCCCAAATGCCCTGGTATGGCCGAGAGCAGGGAGGGTTCGCCCTCCCTGTCGAAATACTCTCACACGGCCACGCGTATACAGCCTCTGCCAGGGAAGTCCTACTCACTGCCTTCTCGTGGCGGGGGTGTTGTTTACGAAAATGAGAGGACGAAATGCGAACGTCCGGCGCTATAACCGGATCCCAATTCTATGGTGCACATGGGCTCCAGTATCCTGCGGGAACAAATGGCGTATGAACCAACTTTTGGTCACCGGCTTCCATGGGACTGCATCTCCTCACGATGCTCCACTGCCTTGTGGACTAGACCTTTAGGTCAAAGGCTCGGGGTGTGGCCCCCTAAGAAAACCACCTGCTTCGGTCTGGGCACCCGGGCAGTATCTCAGCCCACACACTAAAACCATGATGAACTATCTGCTTATGGAAAATATTCGTTTCTCTCCGACAAACATTGAAATGACTGGTATTATTATTATTATTATTATTATTATTATTATTATTATTTACTACGTCATTTATTCACTATCTCCTATTTCTACTTTTTGTATCCGTTTCGACTCAGACAGCAGCTCGCCTATGGTAAAAATTCAGCTTTATCTAAACGTTCTCGAGTCACTGCCTGGTTTGAAAATTGTATGCTACCATCGAATAAGAGTACTGAAGCAGTCTTTCTGAAACCACGCGCACCATTCAAACTGGCTGCCTTTAACGTTCGCACACTTATGCAGGTCGGACAACAGATAGGGCTGGCAATGTCTTTGGAAAGTCTTAATATTGATGTGTGTTTTCTATCCGAGACCCGTATATTGTAGTACTAGCTGGAGACTTGAATGCTCAGGTCGGGCGTCTAGGCACAGAAGAGAGTCGTTTAGGTGGCCGATGGGGACTCGTTGGTCGCAGGACAGATAACGGGGAACGTCTACTGCAACTATGCACAGACCACAACCTGTTTCTGGCTAGCACTAACTTTCGGCACAGTCATCGCCGATGTGCCACCTGGCGTCCCCCTTCTGCATCTCAAGCCTGGACTCAGATTGATCACATCGCGATCAGCTACCGCTGGCGCGGTTGTGTACAAGACTGCCGCTCCTTTTGGAGTACCTATCTGGAATCTGATCATGCTCTGGTCTGCGCCAATCTTACCTTACTTTTCAGTGGACAACGAAGTGACCGCCACCAAAGGATTGATGTTAGCAAGCTGACTGCAACTTCTGTTGCTAGTAAGTACCGAACCGAGCTAGCTTCTAGGCTAGCTACCATTCCACCGAAAAGTATAGATGAGCATTGGTTGCAATTGCATGACGCCATGAAAATGGCGGGTACAGTCTGTTGTGGGTTTGCGAAACGCCCCGCTTACAAGCACTGGGTTTCTTCTGGTTCCTTACAACTGATTGAAGCCCGTCGGTCTACTCCGGGTGACCGTGAGTTTGACCACAGACGAAGGATGTTACGTAATGAAATCGGGCAAAGCTTGCGTAAGGACCAAGAAGCCTGGTGGTCGGAGCGTGCCAGTGAGTTGGAAGCAGCAGCTGCGTCTGGTAATTACCGGAAGCTCTTCCAACTCATCCGAGCCACTGGCAGCAAGAAGTTTGGTGTGAGCGAAACAATCTGCGAGGATGACGGAACGCCAATCACTAACATCCATCGACGTCTTGGACGATGGGCAGAATTCTTTGAAGGGCAGTTCAACTGGCCTGCTGCTCCGGCAACATCGGTCAGACTGTCCTGCCCTCCATGGCCGGTGACGACTGATCCACCAAATGAGGCGGAAGTCCGCAAGGAACTCCAACTCTTGAAACGTTACAAATCACCAGGCCCAGACGACTTACCTCCGGCTCTTTTTAAAGATGGTGATGACTTTCTGACTAAGGGACTGACGACGTTGTTTACAAAGATCTGGGAACTAGAGAGTGTACCGACGTCATGGAATGAGTCGATAGTTGTCCCTATCTTTAAAAAGGGTTCACGTCGTTCCTGTAACAACTATCGGGGGATAAGTCTACTTCCGATTGCGTTCAAGCTATTGGCTTCCGTTATACTTCGTAGGTTGTTCAAAACCCGAGAAGGATTGACTCGCGAGAAGCAGGCTGGGTTTCGTTCTGGTCGAGGATGTATTGATCATATCTTCACCCTCCGCCAAATGTTAGAACACCGCCATACTTATCAAAGGCCAACAATCGTAGTGTTTCTTGATATCAGGGCTGCCTTCGATTCGTTGGACAGAACTGTTCTCTGGGATTGTCTATTGAAGAAGGGTGTGCCTGAGAAGTTTATTAACATCCTAAAAGCCCTATACACAAACACCTCAGGCAGAGTGAGGGCATACAACCACCTTTCTCCACTATTCCATTCGAGCAGTGGGGTTAGGCAGGGTTGACCAATCTCACCATTCCTCTTCAACTTTGCCATCGATGACATTCTGGAAACAGCTCTGACGGATGTAAGTAATGGTGGTGTGGATCTGTTGCCTGGAGAAAGACTTCTCGACCTTGAGTATGCGGATGATATTGTCTTACTGTGCGAGAATGCCCAAGCTATGCAATCCGCACTTAATCAGTTGGCAATCAATGTCCGTAGGTATGGTATGTGCTTTGCACCTTCGAAGTGCAAAGTACTTCTACAAGACTGGCAGGATTCTAATCCTGTACTCACTCTGGATGGTGAGCAGATAGAAGTAGTCGAGAAGTTCGTGTATCTAGGTAGCTGCATAAGTGCTGGTGGTGGTGTGAGTGATGAGATCAATGCTCGTATAGTGAAAGCCAGAGCGGCTTATGCCAATCTGGGCCATCTTTGGCGCCTTCGTGATGTTAGTCTGGCTGTAAAAGGTCGGATCTACAACGCGACGGTGAGAGCAGTTTTGCTCTATGCTTGTGAAACCTGGCCTCTCCGAGTTGAGGATGTTAGACGACTCTCTGTGTTCGATCATCGTTGTCTCCGAAGGATTGCTGGCATCCAGTGGCAACACCATGTCAGTAATGCAGAGGTTCGGCATCGAGTGTTCGGTCACAGAGACGATAATGAAATTGGTGTCACCATCTTGAAACACCGACTTCGGTGGCTTGGACATGTTCAACGAATGTCGTCCCAGAGAATTCCTCGTCGTGCATTATTTGCCGACTCTGGGACTGATTGGAAAAAGGGGATAGACGGTCAGTATATGACATGGTGTCGTGGTATGAAAGAAAGCTGCAAAGGGCTAGCTTCTGTTGGTCCTTCACGACTCCCTGGTTGGGGTCCGAGAGACGGTGCAACGCAGTGGCTAGAGACGTTATCAGATATGGCTCAGAATAGAAGCCAGTGGCGATCCTGCTGTAACCTTCTTTTACTTTCTTCATAAAAAGTGGTTGTATCTTCCTTAACTGAAAGATCTCTTCTGATTGTACCTTTCCGTTTCCCCCACCATTGTTCTCTCTCTCTCCCTTTTTTTTTATAATTCCCCACGCTCATTACTTTTTTTTTTCTCTTTTTTTCCTTCTCTTCAAATTATCATTGTTTTGTGTGGTGCATATATATTTGGTGCCCCTCTGTACCAATATTTATGTGTTCAAATAAATAAATAAATAAATACTTAACATATCAACCGACACTACAAGATGACTATCTGAAACTAGTTTCATAAAAGTGAATTAAGAAATGTATTTATGTGTTTCTCTTATAAGGTAAGATTTAAAGGTCAACTTTGTACTAATATTTGCTACAATTGTAAGCAAAGTAATATGTGGTGTGTGTTACTTATGCCAACAGATATAAGTAGTATGTAACATCAAAGAGAAGAGAACAAGAACAGAGAGTGATTGGTATAGAAACGAACAAACAACAAAGTCCGATAGAGATTTTTCAAATGAAGTAGTTACTGTATGGTTCTCAGAGTTTACCAAGATATTCTGTAATATCTCTACTTGCGTTCTCGTTCATTACAATATGTATAAGTGTGACTGAAAAGTCATTTAAATTGAATGAGTTCCACTTAATAAATGATTGAACGTATATACATATATCAGGTTAATAATTTCAGACTACAAATTAATACGATACAGTTCAGTAAAATTAATTTAATAGATTTATGACGGATTGTGTATTAAATATGTACCGACATCAACCCAATCACACCTGATGGCAAAACTCTGGAAGATGTGGAATCGTTCACGTAAGCGAGAAGCATCATCGATGAACAAGAAAAATCCGATACAGACGTAAATGCGGTGATTAGTAAAGCAAGGACAGCATTACTACAGTTAAAGAACATATGGAACTCAAAATAACTGTCTCTCAACCAATATCAAAGACACAACCATCAATACGAACGTCAAGACAGTTCTACTATACGGAAATGAAACTTGGAGAACTAATACAATCCTCATCAAAAGAGTACAAGTATTTTCAATGGTTGAGATCATAAGTCAATTGAAGCTAGACCACCAATGGAAAATCTGGAAGCACTAGACGGCCGTTTCGTCCTATTGTGGGACTCCTCAGCTGTGCGCATCCACGATCTCTCCTCGCGATATTCGAACTTAAGATATATCTTTCTCACGCACTAGATAGGTCCTCATGATCTCAACCATTGAAATTACTAAAACAGCTACAAAAACCCTTCTTATACAAGTATTTATAAATAGTTATTTACGCAAGATACTCACTACCCGTTTGTCAGATACCATTATAAACAACCTACTGTTGAAGAGAACAAACCAGCTTCCAGTTGAAGAGGAAATTATTAAAAGACATTGAAAGTGGATAGAACACATATTGTGAAAATCATCAAATTGCATCACAAGTCAAACGCTAACTTGGAATCCTGAAGGCAAGCATCAAAGAACACATTTTAATCGGAAATTGGAACTAGACATGAAAAAGATGAATAACAATTGTAATGAATAAGAAAAGAATTGCTCAAGACAGGGTTAGATAAAGAGTATTGATTAGTAACCTATACTCTTTTCCACAAGAAGTAACATGCTTAAATAAAGTAAAGTAAATATATAAATAGAAATAAATACTTACGGGTAATTTTATTTTTTGTAAAGCATTTAATGGACTATAAACAATTTTATTTTGATTTATAATTGAAGTGATTCTTTGCCTTTCAATTAATTCATTTGCATGTAAATTTAACCAATATGATTCTTCATGAATACCTGATGAATAATTAATTGCACATGGACCTCCTTAATGAAAAACAATAATAATAATAATAATAATAATAATCAGATATTTGTGAAATATTTATTGATTAATTAATTATGACAATTGTTATAACGTGTGATCCACCTATTAGAGAGCAGCCCATTATCGATCGAAACACTGACGCATAAAATACGAGCGAGCAACCTAGAGTCCTGATTGGTCCTGCTTCCCTGTCTAGCCCAGCCAATTGAGTCCAGAACACAAGTCTCAGCCTCGGAGATATGAATCATTATATTTCAAATATACTCTGTTTATATACCAAACAAACAGACTACATCGTACCATAAAATAGAAAATAACATTTGTACAAGATTTAACCTTCAGGAAATGACACAAATAAATATTGACCAATAGGGAAATGACACGTTGGAAGAATGTTGACCAATGGGGCAATGACACTATTTCTCATTCAGGAATAGCATTAGATAATTTCTGGGGTATTTTCTGAATACCCCAACAACAATAGTAGATTAACTACATTCATATGTTAATTTACTTTCATTACACTTATTGTATTGTAGGTGTTATTATCTTAGTGAAGATTAAATTACAGGTAACTTCTGAGGAAAGCACTCAACTGCATCACAAGGTAAGCTTTCATTTGAAATTCTCAAAGTTAAAGGAGAACTAAAGAACATATTACACCGAGAAATAAAGACAAACATGAGAAAAATGAACAACAATTGGATAGAATTAAAAAGAAAAACCCAAAACAGAGTATGTTGGAGAATGTTGATAGGCAGTCTATGCTTCATTAGAAGTAATAGGTGTAAGTAGGTAACTTTTGAGAACTTTAAATGGACTAGTATTGTATCTATATATTCCTATTGTATAATCATCCAGTAACTAGATTATGTATATCAATATTTATCTTATTATAAACTCAATCACAGCCACTTTTTGGCTTGATCCTGTACAAATGTTATTTCCTGTTTGATGGTTGGATGCGGTCTGTTTGGATGGTATATAAACCAAGTATGTTTGAAATAAATGGTTCGTACAGTGGGAGCAGATATTGATGTTCTGGACTCAACTGGGAGAGCTGGTCAGGGAAATAGACCAATATGGAGGCCATGATGCTCATACCGGTTGAACGTCATTGCTTTAACAAAGTACTAAGATTGAATAAGTCGGATTTTGGTTGATAAATAATATATATATATATATATATATATATATATATATATATATATATATATATATATATATATATATAAGTGAAGTAAATAAAATGACTTGTAAGCTAGATTTAACTTTTCATTCATTATATATTTTGTCATACAGTTTTCTAGCCTTATATCTCTTATATCTTACGGTATTCATTTAAGTTATATCAACTTTAGATCTTTCAAACATTATGTTCTCAATTATTCAATCAGATAAGAGTTCAGAATAGGCATCTGCTTATTTCAGTTTAAATAAAACTATGTCCTTACCACAGAATGTATAGTAGTTACCTATGTTGTGATATTCTTCCCAATCATTGATGTAGTATTATGTAGACCACATTAATTTTATATTGTGGTGTGGGTTACTTATATCCACATAAGTAGTAAATAACGGTGGTCAGACATAGAATGTTTTTCAGTAGAAGGTTGATGAACAAAGAACGGGAATGGAACGGAACGCTATTAGTATGAAAACGCATGAACAATGAAATCTGAGACAATGAATTGATGTTTGCAATAGGAACAGTCAAGTTTGATATGATGGATTGATATTTTACAGGTTTTATTGAGATGTTCTGTAATTTTGTACTCAAATACATTCGATTGTCCCCACTGGTGTTCTTGTTCACTACAATATCAGTATATTATGTCAGGCGAATCTAGAGTCAGTATTACACAATTGCGACATGCAAATTAAGCCTTGACTATGACATTCTAGTGAGAAATTTTTCGTAGCCGAATTCAGTTTTCTAGTTATGAAAATTAAATTTGAATAGCTTTCCAAACTTTGAATCCTTGTTCATGAGGTTCCTTAATAAGAGTATTTCCCCATAGGTGGATTAGTAAATTAAACACATGGTAGAATGTATTTGTAAAATCTTAGCGAAAGAATTTGAAGTAAATCCAACGTTTCATCTAACAATCTGGTCCAAGATTTTTCAAGGAAATATTTCCTTGCCAGGCGAAAGTTCCAAGTCTTTCGCTAAGATTTTATAAATACATTCTTCCTCTTTAATGTCTCACATCAACTCGGCGTCTAAATACTGTGAAATTATTCAGTCAAATTTAGATGAAACTTCTTATCTATTAACAAAGTGTTTACAATTGATTGATCATGTGTTAGGTCTTAGTGCAGATCAAATCCTATCGACCTAGTTGCAATGTGTCCACTAGTCTATGTGACTTGATATTACGTGCACTATGTTGAGATATGATGGTGGTGATCACCACCCAGTGATTAATTGATTTTAAATACATCTCATTCCTACAGGAGGGCAGTCGTAACCCGGATATCCCAGTGGTAAGTTATCTGACTGTGACATGGGATCGAATCCGTCAAGGAACATCAGTTCCCTTCAATATTACAGGTACACCTTGCTGACGATTGCCAAGTAGTACAAAATCTAGGTCCATGGCTTCTTGTCGACTACCTCCAACTACTAATTTAATAGCAAAGTGTATTCTGAAAGTCAATGGTAAATAATATTTCACTGTACGTTCAATTATTGCTTTGATTATCATTTGTAATTACAAACAATGGAATTATCATATCTGTAGAAGAATATTTGCTGAGTTTTTACCATTAATTTTATTTCATTCCTCCTGACATTGTTTTATAAAGTACAAAATGGTAAGCTTATTGAAATTAACGCCCTACTCGAACTTTAAGGTCATCGTTTCAGTAGTATTGATATAACTTTCCTTTATATTATTCTTTAGCATGCCTAGTTATATATATGTTAACCTATCAAGAAGGTGGTTATTTAAAAGTTGAAATCAAAGCTTTACACTATTAGATATAGTTTCTTCCCAGACTATTATTTGTAGATATTTAAAGCATTTACATAGGTATTTATACATGAAATGGGAATCGGGAAAAGGTAATAGTCATCACAACTCTAACACTACCATAGATTCTCTGGTACAATATCGAATCCTCTAGTTGACTGCTAGCATCCCTTCCGTTTTCACCATCAGTTCTTCTTCTATAAGTTTTTCCCATGCATTACCATTACTAACTATTCAAGTCTTGTGAAAGCGCCCTCTAAACTATTTAACGGAGCTTCCAGTATTTAGATCAACAGACTTCTTTAGGTAGCACGCCAAAATCCTGTGCCATCGATGTAGACTATCTTCAAGACAAGTACACAGGATCCAGATGAGTCATTTACTTGACATCATGTAGTTAATACAGAGAACCGGCGCGATTTACTCGCTGTATATCTGGAAATTTGACTGCCAGCTCACTGATGCAGATTTAACACCAAGCTCAAAAGCCGTTATAGACTAGATCCAAATAGATAGTAACTTGCACGCTATCCAACTAAGCGGAGAAGTATGAATAAAAAATGTGAAGAAATGCCCATTGGCTTTATGTATGGGCTTAACATAACAATTGACACTACATTTATCTCAAGAACAACCAAATAATCAGTAATTTTCATCACAAAGTAACTCGGCATGATATTCAGGCAGCTGAGAAAACGGTACTGATATACACGTATAACTAGTTAATTTTTTGTTCAAATTTTGCATAAACATTTTTATGGAGATAACACTTTCACCGTCTGACATTTCAGTAGTCGATCTCTAGCCAGGAGATTTTCTTTTTAATTTAGAATATTCAGAGCCGAACTAAAACACGACATCCGTCCGTGAAGACACTAAACGTTGGGTTAGAACACATATGTAGATGTAGACAACCTGGTTGAGTTCCGCTTGATTATCATAACCAACCAATAGAAACTCTGAATGAAATGCTCAAAATTGATCACAATGGTGTAGGTACATTCACTCTTTGTCTTCCCTAAGATACTAAACTCTTCAGTACCTAAATATCTTTTCTCATTCCATTAATTTATATTTTCTTAAATGCTTAATATTTTTTCTTTCACTGTTACTGTTACTACCTTCACTAATCTGAGATTTTTCTTGACAATTTCATCACACAATCCTAAAACGGTGTGTAAACTTGAATCAATGTAAATTAACACAAGGTTCTACTGTTTGTCTGACTTATTGATTGATTGACACACACGAAATATATATGCTCCACTCAAGTCACTTGATTTGTGTGTGGGCTGTAATACCTCCCTAATGCCCAGAAAGAAGCAGGTGGTTTTCTTATGCGGCCATCCCATGAGTCTTTGATGTAAAGTTCTAATCCACAATGCAGTAGAGCAACGTCAGGAGATGCAATCCCATCGTAACCAGTGACCAATAAATGGTTTATACGTCATCTATTCCTTCAGGATACCGGAGCTCATGTGCACAATTGGTTTGGAATCAGGGTTTTCCAACTCACCTGGGTGGATTCTCTATGTGCAGCACCGTATATTTGCTTTTTGTCCTCTTAATTTTGTAAACAACACTGCCGCCGTGAAAATGCGATGAGTAGAACTTCCCTGGAAGTGGTTGTATACACGTGTCTATGTGAGATCATTTTGAGAGAGAGAGCTGACTCTCCTTGTCCTTGGTTGTACCAGGACGTTTAGGAGCAGGTTCATAATTTCAGTTTTGTATATCAAGATGAAAAAAAATTAAAATTTCATAATTATCCCTTATAAATAAAACTGATTATACATCGAAAAAGATTCATTGAACTTACTAATCAAAGATAAGAATACATTCACATCACATTGATTAGCCACAATGCTATCAGGACTATAAAATTCTCTACAATCGAAAAGAAATTCTGCATGTATATATGATGAATGGATAATATTTTATATAATAAATCTTTATTTAATAATTGAATTCATGAGTCCATTGAAGCTGGATCACCATGGGAAACATGGAAGCACTGGATGGCCATTTCATACTAGTATGGGACTCCTAAGCAGTGCATATCCACGATCCCATCACACGAGACTCGAACCCAAGACTTATCAGTCTTTATTTCTGATATGACATTTCAAATTAGAGATAGTAGTATAACTTGATGAACACAAATGAACTAAAGGACAAATTCATATCATTGGCTAAGGGGTATATATATATGCTTATGTATGGCCTTCCTTTTTTATTCGCATCTTTTTGCTCAAGTAGTCATCTGGGGGGGGGGGCCTGTAGCGTGGAAAGTTGTGTTTCAATGTCAGATCTCGGACCCCATCCATCATAAGCATGTATAAATGAATTGATATACGCGCATATAAGATTTATAATGTGATCAAGTGTATCAGTTTCTATAGATGACTTACTGTATGTTGCGAAATGATCGAGATTCATATTTTCTACTCATTGAAATGCTACGAATATTATATCATCCTCAGTCGCTTGTTTATGTTCATATTAAGATTCAAACCCATTACACTTTGTTTCAAATAACGGACGCGTTATTCACCTAGCATAGGAATTCTGTGATCAACATAGCTTGTGCAATAGGGATGAATTTCATTAGTCAATTATAATTTTTTGAATCTTCCTGTTATTGATAATAAGGATAGAACTTTGATTTGTCCCTTCTAGTATACCCCTATATTGAACGGACTGCCTCAACACTGTCATTAGCTCAGTGGGCAATATAATAAGCGTTCGAATCAAAAGGTAATAAGTTTGAGCCGTTGTGTAAATATTAACATTGAGATACAAGTGCATCTACATGATGAACCCCAGATAAGATCGCAAATCAACAACCTGGATTCTGTAAGGATTGGTTGTACACAGACTAAAAAGCGATACTACAGATTATTACTGAGCAATCAACTGAATGGAACTCATCACTATACATAAAGTCTTTCAACTATAAGAGTTTAACATCACAGATAGAAAAATTTTATGGAACCTTCTTTGACAGTAATGTGTAAGCCATGATAAAACTTGCATCCTGCATTACATTCCCAACCATTATCCATCATTACCTAAAAATACTTGTGACATAATAGTCATACTAAAACAATTCAATTGAGATATATATACATTTCAAAAGACACTAATCACATTCAATACTTCAGATCAAAAACATGAATATTCAAACACTTATCAATGATCAATATACAATCAAAATTATATTTTCTTACTTTGCTCTTGAACATATATGTTGTATAATAGTTTCAAGTAGTTTCTCTACAAGGGCAAAGTGAATCCATTCAATATTTGAATTATTATTATTATTATTATTATTAGTTCTGTAAAGAAAGGTAAATGAAACATGTAGACATTGTTTAGTTGATTTACTCAACAATCAGAAATGAAGTCTTAGTTACAAAAAAAAACAAGCTTCAATTATATTGTTTTCAAAATAGTTTCAATCTATTTGTCTTTTTAATTTAGTTACTAAGTCAATTAAACATATTCTTTAAGTGTTTTGTTTTGTTTAATACTCAAGTAGGATAAATGATAGTCATCAATGATAAATATATATGTAGATAAGATTTCTAAGCGTTGATACTTTCATTGAAATTATTTGTTAGATCCTGATGAGAATAATGATTGGTAACTGTTGAGATCTATTTATGGACTAATACTATATGTATATTTCTATCGAATAGAAACCAAAGAACACATTACGCCAGGAAATGGAGACAAATATGAGAAAAATGAATAAAAATTGGATAGAACTGGAAATGAAAGCCCAGGACTCATTGGTTTGGAGTGTGCTGGTCGTCGGCCTATGCTCAATTGGGAGTAACAGGCATAAGTAAGTAAATATTCCAATGTAGGATATGTAATCATTTGTGTTACAGCAGCGAAGCTTGTGAATCGATAACTGTTATGTCCCGATAAGGATAATAAGTGGTAATTTTCAGGATCCATTTATAGACCAATAATATGCGTATATTTTTATTGTATAATTGTTAAATAACTAAACTATTCAGATTCGTGTTCCTCTTGTTATGTACTTCATTTTGACCTATGAACTATTATTCTACGATTTATGATTCTTGAATTATGCCCTGTCTATTAATCACTATCTTCCACATTCCCAGTCACATTTGGCAAAATCTTATACAAATGTGAACGATTCAAATTGCAGAGGCTGAAATTTGTGTTCTGAACTGTAACAGGTAGGTCTAGGTGGAAAGCAGGACCAAGAAATTCTCTAGACTACTCGTACGTATCTTATGCGTTATTGATTCAATCAATAATTCACTGTTCTCTAATTGGTCATATCATCACGCTATACATTATTGATAAAGGCATAAACCCACAAATTATAATAGAATCTTAGTTGGAAACTAACATTCAGCATAGAATACATTATATAATATTATTAATTTACATATATAATCCATTAGAATTACCTTAATTTGGAATAAAATTTTTTTCCAGATAAAAATTTTTTATTATTTTCTTTATCAAATTTATTTTTATTATATTCTGAATAATGAAAAATTTTTTGAAAATTTAATTTATTTTCTCTTTTTATTGATTGTTCTTGTTGTTGTTGTTGTTGGCGGTGGTGGTGGTGATGGTGGTTGTCGTCGTTGTCGTCGCCGTCGTAGTGGTTGTTGTTGTCATGGTGATCAGATTGTGAATTACAATTCTTTGAATTGTTTCTATGATCAGTTTTAATTTGATTGAAATGTTTTTCAAATTTATTGATTATTTTCATAGCTGTATCACATTGATTTGAAATTTTATGTAGTAATGTATAAGTTGATATATTTTGATTCAATAAAAATGGTGATGTTTTTAAACCCATTCGAAGACAATCATGAATTAATGCTACATAGAAATAATAAAGTATAATAATGGGTATATTAGAAAAACCTTTAATATAGAAAACTATTCTATACATTATTATATTTTCTAATCTATTATTAGTTTTAGTGTAAGTAAGCAGATATTCCAGAATACTGATGAATTCAAGAGTCAATTGATGCTAGACCGCTGTTTCATCCTAATATGGGACATATATACATCCTGTATGGATTGCCTTGATATTGTCTTAATTCACAAGCATTATAAGTAAGAATGGATGGTGGATGTACCTGTAACGGTATTAGGTTTGAGACCTAAAGCGAACACCAACTCTGAGATGTAGGAACATTTAGCTGATAAGTCCTAAATAGGATGAAACATGCGTCTTGAATTCTACTGCTAGCCATTATCCTTTTTTTTTGCTAATATAGAAAATACTTGAAAATTATAAACATGATTAAAAATTGATAAAAGACGTGCTACTAGTAAGATTTAACAATCCGTGTCGGGTAGAGAAAAGTATCTACCTCAGTACAATGGAAGATGTTCGCGCGATCTCGAGGATTGGTTGAGGTTAGACATTAACACCGTTGGATGCCAGCCAGATCAGTAGTTCAGAGGATAAGTGCTCGTATGCAAGACTGATGACTCTGGGTTCGAATCCCTTTAGCGCGGAATCGTGGATGCACACTGTCGGAGAGTCCTACAATAGAACGAAACGGCCGTCCACTGCTTCCAGGTTTTGAATGGTATTCTAACACCAATTGGTTCATGATCTCAATCAAAATAATTTTAAACAAGCTAAGAATTGAGTGAAGTGTGTTTACAACGTTATGACAACATATTGAGATGATGGAGAAGATTTGTAGCTCAGGTGGATGATTTTGATGGAGTTTTATTGTCTGAGCTGGATGCTTTGGTCGTGAAGTTTTCATCGTTCTTCTGAATAACATCATCAGCACAAACTTCAGATGTCGTTCAGAAGAACGATGAAAGCACCACGACCAAACCATCCAGCTCAGAGAACAAAACTCTATCAAAATAAGATAACATATAACTGCATTTTGCTATTTGATTTAAGTTATTTTTGTCAGAGAATTCAACAAAATGTAAAGTATTCACCAAATAAATCGAATGAGAAAAATAACAGGATCAGACAACACACAACATGAAGCATTGAAAGTAAGATTTAGACATAACTGTAAAGATACTTCATAATCTCTTCAGAAAGATTTGAGAAGAAGAACAAGTATCAACAGACTAGAAGGAAGGATACTACATCAAGATACCACAGAAAAGAGATATCAGTGAATATGAAAACTACATAGGCATCATACTACTATCAGTATCAAGTACACGTTTTAGATAATGTTATTGTGTAGTGAACGGGAACACCAGTGTGGACAATCGAATGTATTTCAGCGCGTAATTACAGAGCATTTCAATAAAATCTGAGAACCATATATAGTAAATCGTTAATTTACAAAATATCAATCCATCATATCCAACTTGACTGTTCCTATTGCAAACATCAATCCATTGTCTTAGATTTCATTATTCATGCGTTGTCATACCAATAGTGTTCCATTCCGTTCCGTTCCAGTTCTTTCCTCATCGACCTTCTACTGAAATACATTCTATGCCTGACTATCGTCATATACTACTTATGTGGATATAAGTAACCCACACAATAATTGTACCAAATGAAAGATTCAATAGATCCTCAACTTCATACCAACTTGTTGAATTTCATGAGAATCAATAATGTATTGATTAAATCGCAACATTTTTGGATCATTGTTGAACAATTAATTGAATGGAATTTGTCATTATTACATGAACACTGATTTATTTTCTAAGAAATAAGCTCACAAATGAATGAATTAGACTCATATAATTGATTCATTTATATAATTACATACTTACCACAAAAACTAATTACATGTGTACTATCTTCAGGAATTGAACGACAAACTGAAGCATATTCCATTAATGTTTTAACATTTAATTTTAATTCATCTATTAAATCATTTCGTTTATGTAATAAGTTATTATCATCTGAAAAGAATAAGATTAAAATGTGTTTAGTATTCAAAAGTGATCAGAAGGGGTTTTATGGAGATTTTAGAAATTTCACTCGTTGAAATCATGAGTGAATTGAAACTAGATCACTACTGAGGAGTCCCACAATAAGATGAAACAGCCATCCAATGCTTCCAGGTTTAACATGGTGGTACTAGCTTCAATTGAATCATGATTTCAACGAGTGTTAAGAAGTTACTTGAAACAATAAAACTAACAAATCAATAGTCACAATATGGTGAATAACAATTCCATATTGAGGATATTTTAGATCAATCTTTTTTATTACACATAATCCAGGACACGCGTTTCGTCCTATTTGAGTTCGAGTCCCGGAGTGAACATCAACGCTGAGATGCAGGTACATCCAGCTGAGGAGTCCCAAATAGGGTGAAACGCGCGTCCTGGATTCCACTGCTAGCCACTATCCATCTTTGCTTATATTAGATTATTATGATAACTTGTGGCCTGTACGCCCTGTTAATGTATAACATGATGATATCGCCAATTAGAGAAAAATGAATTATCGATCGGCCAGTGACGAATAAAAACCTGTACGAGCAGTCTAGAGTATTTAAAGATCCTGTTTCCTGCCTAACCCAGCCAGTTAAGTCCAGAACACCAGTCTCATTCTCTGCGATATGAATAATTTATTTCAAATATATTGAGTTTATATACCAACCAGACAGACCACACAGTACCATAAAATATGAAACAGCATTTGTACAAGATTTGGCTAAATGTAGCTGTTAATGTGGGAGATAGTGATTAATAGACAGGGCATAATTCAAGAATGATAAATCGTGGAACAATAGTTCATGGGTCAAAATGAAGCACATAATAAGAGGAACATGAATATTAATAGTTTAGTTACATAACAAATATAAGATAGAATTATACGTATAGTATTAGTCCATAAATGGATCCCAAAAGTTACCACTCAATCTTCACAAGCTTCGTTGTTGTAACTCAATTAATTACATCTCCTATATTGGAATACTTTCTTACTCCTGTTACCTCCATTTGAGCATAGGCTGCCGATCAGCATTCTCCAACTCACTTTGCATTGGACCTTCTTTTCCAGTTCTATACAATTCTTGCTCATTCTTCTTCCTATATCTGTCTCCATTTCTCTGTGTAATGTGTTCTATGGTCTTCCTCTCTTCTTTTGGCCTTCGGATTTCCATGTGAGAGCTTGCCTTGTGACACAGGTGAGTGCTTTCTTCAATGTGTGTTCTATTCACTTACAACGCTTCTTCCTGAGTTCTTCCTCCACTCGAATCTGGTTTGTTCTCTCCCATAGTAGGTTGCTGCTAATAGTGTAGTGTGTTGCCGATGGATCCGAAGTATTTTGCATAGACAACTGTTAATAAACACTTGTACCTTAGAACTGTTTTGACATTTGCATTGAAGATTTTGACTTTGGTGTTGGTTGACAGACTGTTGTTTTGGGTTGCAGATGTTCTTCATTTGTAAATATGCTGTTCTTGTTTTGCCGATCCGCGCCTTCACATCTGTATCAGACATTGGAATAAGTATGTTAATATGGTTTAGTCATTTACACGGTTTAACCCAATCAAATTGTTTTGAATATCACTGGATGATTTGGAGCCTATATTAGTTTGTAGGTCTTTGGGAGCTATTATTTGGTGTACAACTTTTAGTGATTTAGAGTTATTCATAGGAGAATAATAAAGAATGACAAAATACAAGTTTTGAGTTTCTGAGTTAAACATCTAAGACCAACAAATTTATTATATAAATATACATAGAGATAAGTTCGAAAACACACTTAAGCTAATTTTTTTATTGGGATCATGAATCGATTGATGCTAGACCACCAACACTGGATGACCGTTTCGTTCTAGTATGGGACTGCTCAGCAGTACACACTCATGTTCTCGTATGCAGGACTCGAACCCAGGTTTTCAATGATGGTCTAGCTTAGATCAACTCGTGAATTCAACTATTAAAATTATCACAATTTTCATAAAACCCCATTTTGATAATAAATTTTTGGTTGAATTCGAACATATTTACCATCTAAAGAGCAGTCAGTGAGATCTTAATTTGAATTTCCATAGATTCTGTCCGCTAAGAAATAAACAAGCTATAGTGGTGAAACTAATTTATGGACGAACTTTAAGCGACGCTAGACTGACCTTGAGAGTTTACACCTAATAACCAGAACCAAATGTGGGTCATAAACCTGTGTGTGGAACTAGAATTATGATACACACTTATTGATTAAGGTTAGGAATTAGATTTAGGGTATTCATTACGAACTGACATCAGCTATAATGTCAAAACTCTATTTATCCAAATGGATGAGTGGATTTCGCAACGAAATCCGAAACCTGTTATCTTATACCTGATTGGTTCGTCCATAAATTATATTCTCACCGCTTTGGTTAGAGCACTTTTCAATCAACATTCAAGAAGAATTAGCCAACACTGAAAATTATCTAATAGATAATGATTATTCTCAAACGTTTATCACTAAATATACAAAGACAAGAACGAATATAATGAAGCATTATAAGATAGAGAAAAAAAACTTGATTAAAATAGCTGGAAAAATTGAATTATTTAATTGTTCAATTAGTTCCCCTAATCGAATAAATTGATTGTTAACATATTCAACAAGGAAAAATACTTACCTTACGTTGCCGACATTTATGTCTACCAGTTTACATGTAAGTGCCGAAGCAGATTTTTTAGTAAATTCCTCAGAAGTGGGGGTAAAGGGTCAATATACTACCGATAGTGCAATAACCCAATATCTACTTGGTAGTAGATATGATAATGACATTTCAAAATCATTAAAAAAATGACCAATACATAAATAACTTCGAAATTATAGCGTTTTTTTTTGTGCCATTGCTTTTAAAAGAATCAAATTGAGCTTGTGGATTCAAATGGATTTTGATATCAGTATATTGCTATCCTGGTTACCGTAATGTACAACACTTGGTTGTACCATATCTTATTTTGTATTTCCAATTATGAATTCATTTTCCTTACTTTGTAGTGGCTTTGTTTCGTTAATCGATCAACTCGATAACCGTTATTATATAAATCACAACAGTGTTTAAAATCAGAAGGCAATAAGAAGAGGCAACTAAAATTTATTAGCGGATAGCATAGATAACCAAGCCATAAGTATATCGAGCGATTTTGAGGCAGAGAAGCGAGGATGTATGAGTAAACACAGAAGCAAATTTATAGTCAAATCGCATAAGAGCACAGCAAGGCGAAGCAAAGGCTAATAATAAGATTTGAGTATATATATATATATATATATATATATATATATATATATATACATGGAGCGGAGAATGAATCATCGAGTGATATTTAAGCAATCAACATTTTAGCTCGAGTCTGTCGTCTAATCAAGCGTACATGTTCATAACAGATATGATAGTGATCAGAATGATATAAAAAAGTATGCGAATTGTGACTATTCAAATATCATTGTCTATTAAGTAAGTTAACAAAAAGAGCTTAACTAAACTTAACCATAATCGAAATTAATTGTATGATAGTTACTATAACTCTTTTAGAGCTTTGTTTGTTTATTATTCATCTGAATCTTTGGAATTCAATTGATCAGTCTCTTATTAGCATATGTACATCCTGTACATATCGCCTCGATATTGCTTTAATTTAAAACCATTATAAGCAAAGATGGATAGTGACTAGCAGTGGAATCCAAGACGCGTGTTTCGTCCTATTTGGGACTCGTCAGCTGAGACTCGAACCTAGTGCCGTTTGCTTCAAACATCATCGCGTTATTCACTTACCTACTAAATCATAATAGCCACTTGCTTGTGGAATTACAATATAAAGTGATTACACAATTTAGCTTTTAAATAATTAAGAGATTATTACTTCGAACTTGTGAAGTACTGAAGAGAGTCATTGACAAGAAATCAATTCACAATGCTCTGTTAGGTTACTTGTTTCTGTTTTAATTAAGTTTAACGATCGTTAAACCACCGACTCTACGTATTGTATGAAAAGTTTATAATTCTGATATTAATTTGTAAAGAATTTTGACTGTTAAAAAGAACCTCAACGCAGTACCCTAGATATTCTTGAGTAATGTTATCTTGTGAGTCAATAACTTAATTAAAACGCTTTCTAATTAGATGGATTGACTATTAGTTTTGAAGGATAAATTAATCTGTATATATTTACATAGAGAGAGAGGTATCACACTATGATCAGTACCAGTAAAAGTTTTCAACAGTATTGCTAAACCGGATGAAAGACTTAGACGTCCAACTTCAAGATCAACAGATCAGATTCCATGAGAATTGATTATATAAAGACCGAATTGCCACACTACCGATCATTGTTGCACAATCAATTGAATGGGACTCGTCACTATGCATCAACTTCCTTGATTATGAGACTGCACACGACAGTGTAGATAGAGGGAATTTACGGAAACTTTCTCGATACTATAGAGTACCTGAAACATTCGTCAACAACATCCGGAATTCATACAACGGACTACATTGCAAAGTCGTGCATGGAGGACAGATGACAGACGCACTCCAAGTTAGGACCGCAGTCAGACAACAGTGCTTAATCTCCCTTTCTCTTTTTCTTCTGGTGGTTGACTGGATTATGAAGACCTCTAAATCTCACGGGAAGCACGGAATATAATAGACAGGTTGGATGCAACTAGACAATTTATGCTTCTCAGATGACCTGGCTCTTCCATCCTATATACACGAACAAATGCAGATGAAGACAACTAATGTAGCAGAAGCCTCTGCATCAGTAGACCTCAACATACACAAAGGAAAAAACAATATCCTCAAATGCAACATGGAGAACACCAACGCAATCACACTTGATGGAGAAGCTCTGGAAGATGTGAAATCAAAGTCACAACCCTCAATACGAACGTCAAGACAGATTTTTTATACGGAGCTGAAACTTGAAGAATTAATACAAACATCACCGAGAAAGTACAAGAATTTACAAATAGTTTTCTATGCAAGATATTCAACCTCCATTGGCCAAATACCTTCATCGACGACTGAAAATATCAATGACTTATTGCATGATTCATAAAAATGTTTGTGGCTTAGAATAGAAGGACAAAACTTTATTTCCACTTGGTATTGTTTACATGAATCTTCCCACTGATGTTTAAAAATGCAATTGATCAGTCTCTTATCGACATATTTACATAATGTGCGTATTGCCTCGATACTGCCTTAGATCAGAAGCATTCTAAGCAAAGATGGATAGTGACTAGCAATGGAATCCAGGAAGCGCGTTCATTCTATTCGTCAGCTGGATGTACCTGCATCCCTGAGTTGATGTACACTCCAGGACTCAAACCCATTACCGTTTGCTTCAAACACCATTACGTTATCAACTTAGCTTCACTCCTTTGTACAAGCAAGTAGCTTTCAGCACTCAGTAGCTAACTGAATAACGCGATGACTTTTGAAGTAAACAGTACTATGTTGGAGTCCCAAAGTGAACATCAACTCTGTTATACTCATGTTTATCTATCTCATGAGTCCCAAATACAATGAAACAAGCATCCTACCTTCCACCGCTAATCATTTTATCATCTTTGCTTTAAAATTTGATTCTATTTATTTCAAAAAACAACTCAAATATAAACGAAGTACTTTATGTGTATATACATTTCGTTTAAATTCACTTGGTTTTATTTTACTTGTTATTTAGGACTTCGATTGATCAGTGTCTCATCGGCATACAAGCATACTGTGCGTATTGCCTCGATACTGTCTTAAGTCACAAGCTTTTAAAGCAAAAATGGATAGTGATTAGCAGTGGAATCCAAGACACGTGTTTCGTCCTATTTGGAACTCGTCAACTGGATGGATATACCTGATGTTGATGTTCACTCTGGAACTCGAACTCAGTACCATTCGCTTCAAATGCCATCACGTCATTCCCTTAACTAATGATTCCTAATAACCCCTTACTTGTGCAATAGGAGTAAAGTTTAAATTCACTTAATGTTGTTTTACTTATTTATATCTTCCTATTGTTATTTAAGACCTGAAATGGATCAGTCTCATTGTTGGGGTATTCAGAAAATACCCCAGAAATTATCTAATGCTCTTCCTGAATGAGAAATAGTTTCATTGCCCCATTGGTCAACATTCTTCCAACGTGTCATCTCCTTATTGGTCAATATTTATTTGTGTCATTTCCTGAAGGTTAAATCTTGTACAAATGTTACTTTCTATTTTATGGTACGATGTAGTCTGTTTGATTGCTATATAAACAGAGTATGTTTGAAATATAATGATTCATATCTCCGAGGCTGAGACTTGTGTTCTGGACTCAATTGGCTGGGCTAGACAGTGAAGCAGGACCAATCAGGACTCTAGGCTGCTCGCTCGTGTTTTATGCGTCACTGTTTCGATCGATAATGGGCTGCTCTCTAATAGGCGGATCACACGTTATAACACTCATATTAACATTTTATTTGTTATAATTAACAAAAGAAAGAAAAACGAAAAAGAAACCAACAACCATAATTAGACTTACCAAATTTCCAATTCGGTAATATAAATGATAAGAATGTATTCTCTTTATCCATTATGATACTTCTATATTATTGTACATTTTCAATAGTCTAATAGAGAAATGGAAAACATTTGGTAATTATATATTCCTAATCAATATTCTGTTTGTATTCTGTATGTATACGGTTATATTCTCCAGTTGTTTTTTTTTTTGTTTTTTTCCCATTAGTAACACAATACACCAATAGTATAAATGGTTACTATTATCAGTATTAAATATGTTCGTTTATTTGTTTGTTTGTTTGTTTTTTTCCTTTTAAATATTCAGTTTTATAAGTAGTATGGACATGTATTCAATAGATAAATCTGTCTTTAACTACTAAACTAACTCAAATGAAAATAATAATGAATAACTTTCTTTCTATAAAAGATTATTGGTCAATTTCATAATTGACCAATAAGAGAATAGAAAATATCAGAAAACTATTCACTAAATAAATCTATTAATGATGTAATCATTAAAATCGACAAGGAATTAAAAAGTCTCTTATGAGTTAGATTGATAAATCCTGAGTTCGAATCCTAAGAGATGGAATGATGAATGTGTATTGCTGAAGAGTTACACAATAGGACGAAATTGTTGTCCAGTGCTTTCAAGTTTTTCATAGTAGTTTAGCTTCAATGGACTCATGATTTCAACAATTCAAATGACTATAATATTCATACAAAAACAAAACCTTTCTGAAATTAAATAGCTATTGAATAAACAAAAAGGAAGGAAATGCATCAGTAAATGAAAAAAAATGTTCTGTTTTTTATTAGTCATTGGTTTAACTTGGAAAATAGGTAATTTTACATTTTCCAAATGATCAACTAAGTTTCATGCTTAATATTATCATAATTCATTAGAGGTTTGAAGGTTATGACTTTGTCCACTTAAATGATTATTATAATCGATGATCGATAACTGTCCAAAATATCAATTAGTCAGCGTATCTCTAGTATATTTAGATCAATATGGTATGCCTGAATACCGTTTACCACGACACGTAATGCTGACAGTTGCTGAAGAAGGATGGATAAAAGTTGACAACTTCATTTATCTTGGAAGTTTGATTAGCCCAAATGGGTTAGTGTCTGATGAAATCTCAGAATGGATTCGAAAAACTCGTTTGGCTTTTGTCAACTTACATCATCTATGGCGAAGGAGAAATATCTGTTTATGAATTATGGGGCGAGTATACTGATCAACAGTTTGTTCTACTTTAGTTTACGGTGGCGAAACATGGCCATTAAGAGTAGAAGATACTTGTAAGCTACTAGTACTTGACGACTGTTGTCTTAAAAATATTGTTCTCATCTGTTGATATCACCGGGAAATTAATAATGAGGTTAGACGCAGGGTATTAGGGAATGATAATAAATCCGTTGATAAGGTTGTGAATCTTTATCGACTGAGATGGTTGGGCCACGTGTTGCGTATGCCTGAACACCGATTACCACGATGCGCAATGCTGACTAGTGTTGGGAATGGTTGGAAGAAGGATAGGAGCAGCCAAAACAAAACGTGACATCACTCCTTCAAGTCATGCTGGTAGATGTAGTCTACTTGGTTGGGGTCCGCATGACTATCGAACCAATGGTTGGAGATCCCGGATAACATGGCTCAAAATCGGTCACAATGGCGTCGGTGTATACACTCCTTATCTTCCCTCAAACTGTGAGATTGAAATTACTTTATTTATTTATTTCTACGAATTAATTCTTTTTTCCTGTACTACATCCTTATACACAATCTTTCTTTTATACATTAATACCATTGAAGTGACCACTTCTATGAATTCGGTGTTCATGTTGTTGTGCCAATGAGGTGTGGCAACTTGAACTGATGCATATATATGCCTGTTCATCCGTTGTAGCTGACTAACTGACATGATTAACAAATAGGTAGATCCACAAGCAACCAGTTAGTGGGATATGGGGAATATCAATTCATAACTCACTCTAATTAAACTCACAACTGAACACAACTTAACCAATAGAATTAAAGTACAATCACATGTTCAGTTAGATACTTTACAATTCTGTCCATTTAACATATCTGCATTAAATATCATATTATCACTCCCACACTGCTAAAGTATTTAAATATAAGGCTAACAAAGGTGAGACTTTAAGTTATGGACGAACTTTGAGCGACGCTAGACTGACCTTGAGAGTGTCCTCCTACTAATAACCAAAACCGATTAAGGGTTATAAACCTGTTTGAAGATTTAGAATTATGATTTACAGTTGATGATTAAGGTTAGAAATTAGATTTGTGGTTTTCATCACGAACTGACATCAGCTATAATGCCAAAATGCTCTTTAACCAAATGGATAAATAATTTCGTGCCAAAATTCAAGATCTGTTATCTTATACCTCATTAGTTCATCCATAAATTATAATCTCACCTAAACGGCAAGTGACATTATTAGCAAATCCCTTATATCTCAGTGTGAAACTTGATTATGTGGATATAATTGAATAGTTTGTTGGTAAAAATATACGGTTAATGTGGCGGATTATTTTAAAAGAATTCTTTTTATTTATTTTTGTTTGTTTGTATCACTTTCTTAAAACAGCAACTGTAACTAAGTAGACCGAATGATTGTTTTCCTCTTTAGACTACAATACAATGTTAAATGTCATACAGTTATAGTAAACAATGAAATTTAGTTTATTGTAGTATATTTAAACCTTGATGATTTAACTTTTAACTTATCAGAATGACAATATACTTTACAAATGAAAAGTTTACTTCCATTATACCTAGAATTTTTCATCTAGTTTTTGTCTAGGTTAACGAGGTTATTTCGAATATAGAAATAATTTCTTAAAATCCTTTTGATATATTAATAGATTGTGTTTGTAGGATGTTGAAAGTCAGACCTTGTTGAGTCGGCTTCCGAGTACGGAGCCTCTAGATGCCCTAAAGGAGCCGAAGAGTTTCAGCCAATCAGAACATGATTGAGTTTTCTGGAATATCAACGTGGCATGCTACTATTGGTCAGTAGCATAATATGTCTCTTAGAGGATTGGCTGAAATATAATGTTGATTTAACAAATGCTAATGTCTGTAAATGCCCGTGATTCTCTGTACATTTTTTATTCTTACCAAGTAAACACTTCTCCAGGTTTTCTTCTGTCTTCTGATTTGCGACGGAAAAGTTCTAACGTTCGAGTGTCGTAGTTGTAACCCGTATTCTGCGTTAATCATGTAGCGAACTTAACAGACCTAACACTCAGCCATACGACATATTATTATTTTTGGTTTTTTGTTCATGTTCTGTATATAAATATGCCTCTTGATTATATAAAAAAACCTATTCAGTCGGTTAGCTGTCATGTCTGCGGTTCCGAATCATTCATGTGTTTTGACCGATAATATAGTCTTATGTATAGCCATCACTTGAACACACGATGTCATTGCATTCATATATCTATTAGCGTTCTATTCATTATCGTGAATTCCTTGCATTAAATCGTTAAAACAATCTTTACTACAAAAATATTGACGGAGTTCAACATTTCTGTATGATGTTTTGCATTTCATGTAATCTATAGCTTCTCATTATCTAGTCAGTTTTCTGAAAAAATTACTAATGCCGATGACAAAATCACTTGTGTATTATAAAGTTGTTGTGCCTTTAAGCCCGGTTATTTATCAACCAAAATCCGACTTATTCAATCTTAGTACTTTGTTAAAGCAATGACGTTCAACCGGTATGAGCATCATAGCCTCCATATTGGTCTTTTTTCCCTGACTTGTGATGTTTCGGAACCTTATGAAACTTTGAAAAAGGATATTCCTAGACGTGGAGCCCCAACTAACCGACAAAAATTGGACCAACTCTTTCACAACATCGAGCTGTACCATGGCTCAGTAACAGAAATGTTGCTGCGAATATGAGAGGTCACTAGTCAACAGACCTTCGACGAAAGCCTGTTTAGACAGCTTTTCTCATTTAAGATTTACCAACAGGCTCAGGCGCTTCTGATCTCGTCCGAAAATAACGCCTTGGACTAACTGTTTGTCTGACATCCGGATTCTGGTGACCACCAAAACCCCCAACACAAAGGTTTATACTGTCAAAGAAAAAACCCAAAGGACACAAAGTCCTGGTAATGGTCTCATTCTGTTGAGATAAGATGGTGGTTGGTGGTAGTCAACAGGAAGTCCTGGACCTAGATTTCGTGGTACTTGGAACTCGTTGGCAAAGTACACCTGTAATCTTGAGGGAACTGATGCTCACTGACGGATTCCATTCTTTATCACGCAACGTTGAGTTGCCTAGACAGATGTCCACATTGTATCTTTGGATGACAGGATTCGATCCACACCAAGGATGAACTGACATACATGACATTGATCACCACTCAATGATCAGTCAATTGTACTAGTCTCACTCGTTATCTTCATATCCATTATAACGCCAAACGCCACAAATCTCCTCCAAGAATCAAGTTGAGAAAAAATCTGCTTCTATACCACGAAAAGCAGATAAGCGCGACTGGAGTTGGTATCACAATACCTGTAAAAGTTGTTCTGAAAAATCCAGAAAACCTTGAAGTTTTCCGAACTCCAAAGCCGTGTACTTTACATCATTGATGTAATAATGAAAGTTCTCAATCTTGTCGTCGCTGGAGAAGAAATAAGAGCTTTTTTCGCAAATACTACTGATCGTTCAAAAGATGAGGTCCGTGACTTGTAGGCAACAGGCGGAAAAACGATTGCTATAATCGGTAAAATGTGTGTTTAACATAACGTGGATTTATGCAAATCCATTAACTTGATTTTCGTCGTTCCAGACGTTTTCATACCATTCGACGTAATAATCTGCTACAACACCACAATCTACTCATCGACTGCGAGAAAACTGAGGTTAGTAGACAGAAATACTAACTTGCATTTATAAAGTTATATTTTCTGGTTGTAGTTTATGCCTAGTCACTGCAAAGCATAGAATCGACCAGCACCTCCAACAGACACTCGAAGAGAACCCCGGACTTTACAATACGTGGTCGAAACAAGCAATGTTGCACATCATATAACAACTACAGGAAATACGTATTTTTGTCTGTGCGCCTACTAACTCCCGAAAGCTAAAACTGATTAAAAACGAGTTCGAGGATTTGATAGATTTGAGAATTCTCCAGCCACTACACAACCCGTTCGCATTCCCTTTTGAACGTGGTCGCTAGAAAGTATGGCGATGACTGGCGTTCAAATGGTGATCATGGGTGTCTGAATACAGAAACCACTACTTGTTGTTACCTCTTGTCTGCCATCCACGGACCGACAGCTGCTCTAAAAATTACGACTGTTTCCACGAAAATCGACTCAGTTAAAC